TTCCTATTTTCATTTTTGTAAAGACAGGCCTAACATCAAGATCCTGTAACGGATTTTCTCTCTTACATATGAGTCACGGTAGGGGCCCCAGATGTTCCTAACTCTTGGGTAGTGGTCCATGATGTGTTCTTCATTAGCAGCCTTGTGATGATAGGGAAGGGGGGTTGTAATTATATTCAGTTCAGTTGTATATATTCAGCAGATATCGGGTTGTCCCCGATAGTTTTGTGCGATTGTCTCCAGTTGGAATAACTTAGTTGAGTAAATCGGTATCAACGTTTCGTTGTGGTTTATTGGTTGTGCCTGATTGTGTTTTGATGGGTTGAGTAAATCGATTGAGTATTTGACTAAGCCTGGTTGTGTAATGGTGGGTTAGTGTCAAGTAGGTATAGGTTTTGCCGAAATGTGTTGTGTACGTTTGAGACTAGGTTCTCTTTTGATGGTTGCTAGTCTGGTGGTTTAGTATCGGGTTGTGTCCCATTGTGTTATGTTAATCTTATAATGGGTTGTTTTCTCTTGTGAATATGTTCTGTTGGTTGGCTAGCTGGTTGTGGCTAGTCGGGTGAGGTATCTTGTTTTGTCTGATTGTGTTGTGTGATTGGCGTTGTCTCCAATTGGGTTAGTCCAAGTTAGTTGTGTATCTCGGTATTACAATTATAATGTGTTTTTTGCCTGTGCCTGATTTTGTTTTGATTGTTTGGTTTTGGGTTTTGAAAAATTGTTGTGTTACTTGAACAATGGGCTGTGTTTGCTTTTGTTGGTTTAACATTGGGTTGTGCCAAATTGTGTGTTGATAATTTCACAGTTCGATGTGTTTTCATGGTTGTTAGTTTAGTTGTGTTTTATTGGTTGTGCCTGATTGTGTTTTTATTGTTTAGTGTTGGATTGTGCACAATTGTGTTGAGTTAATTCAACAATTGGTTGTGTTTGTCTTTGTTGTCTTGTTATTGGGTTGTGACATATTGTGTTAATCTGACAGTTGGTTGTGTTTTGGTGGTTGTAAGTCAGGTTGCGCCATGCTGGCTTTGATGCTGGGTTATGCTATATTGTGTTCTGAGTATTTTGACACTGGGTTATGTTCTATTGTACTGTTGCATGATTGGTGATCTAGGTTGTGTTTGGTTGTAATAGGTTATATATGTCGAGTTGTGGGCTGTGTCCAATCAGGCTGTGGTGTTTATTGGGATAAGAAACAAATGGCCGGTTTAGGGTATTATGTTGTTGGTTTATCAGTTGATTCTATGTAGACCCCAAAGAGGATATAGGGTATTATGATGGTGAGATATTCAACTGGCATGGTAGGCGTTAGCTTCGCGTCATTCTCTGATGAGTTGGTCCCCTGTTGTTCAATGAATTCAAGAAAAACAATGCTAATTTATCTTTTTACATAATATATTTTTTGTTGATTTCTCATACAAAACATACTTTTATTGCATAAGTGATATATTTGTGTCGCTTTCTATGATCAAATATGTTACTTTGTTCCCCTCCTTAGTTTATATGAGGCATGGGTTTTCAACTAAAGCCCATGTATGAGGAAAGAGGGGTGGCTTATGTGAAAACGTATGGTTTCCGAATGCCTTGGGCTTGCCAAGTCGCTATTTTATTTTATTTTTTGATCTTGAATTATTACCAAAATATACAGCTGCAAAAACATGAAATTAAAGGTCCATGTGCAGTATGGCAAGTGATTTTTAGAAATGTTTACGCATTTTGTGGCATAATGCAGTCACTGCACGTCACTTAATGACCACTATTCAGCCTATCTGTTTTCAAACCCTTAAATATTCCCAAAGGTATAATTTGACACTGAATTGGTTATTGTAAACCGAGAAATAATCTTTTCTGGCCTAAAGGATATTCTTCATTTTGAAATTGATGTCATGAAATTAATAAATGACACCTTAGGAATGAAAGGGTTAATATGTATTTTTGCACTCACCAAAAATACTTTTGGAGTTGTGATTCTGAAAGCTGACACTCCCAATGGTGTTTTGAAATCGTAGTGCAGATGAAGCCTTTTATTTGACCCTAGTTTTCACGACTTTTAAACACGGATTGAGATGCGTTTATAATTACGTAATTCAAAAAACGAACTGCGAAACGAAAATTATCGAAATACGTATCCGTAAACGTAACGAGATACGGATGCGGATACGTTTTAGCTAATTCGTTTTGCGAAACCTCTCTATTGACTTTGCGTTCACGGTTACGTTGTGAAAAACATCACTAGCGTAAAGTCTCTATTACGTGTTGAAGACTATGCGTGACTGGAAAGATCGGTTGAGAACTAGTTGTATGTGATATAAGGGGGTAACCCGTAACGATGATCTGAATACATTACCGGATTTTCTCGCATATACGCCCCCCTAAATTTAGGCCCATGGGCCAAAAATCGAATGTAGTACGCTTATACGCCCATGGGCCTATAAAAAATGACTATTTATTAATTTTTTTTAATAAATTCAAGAGTATTTTGTCACTGGCAGATCGTTCTGTCGTTACTTTGTTTCAACATTAAGTTCAACGCTGTGCCGTAAGTGGCAGTGGTGGATCGTTCGGTTGTTACTTTGTTTCAACATTAATTCCAAGGTTGTAGGTGACATTTCCTTTATAATTCTTACAAAACATGCGGTAGGACTACAACAGTAGGTACGGTAGTCCATTGTATTCATCAGCTCTTCTCACTTTTACGCCCACTGGGCCAAAAATCGAAAGTAGTACACTTATACGCCCATGGGCGAAAAATAAGAGGTAAAATAACAGACGAAATTACCCCTTCTGTCAGTTATACGCCCAGGGCTTATATGCGAGAAAATCCGGTATATATTTCTGACACATAAAATAAATTGGTACCATACACATTTTGAATAGTGAGGTACTGTTTACATCATCTTGAGTTATTTAATTATCATGAACTGGTATAAACCTTTCATATCAAAATAAGAAAATATACTGCCATAATAATGTGCCATATGCCAATCGAATGGCTTTGAAATAAAAATATTGACCACATTACTGGTAGAAGTTCCTACATAAGGAATTATATAAAATGGTATAAAGTTCCATTAAATGTTTTAAGTAAACTACCCGATTGAACTATGAATCAAATGAATATTTCTACTATTGGAAATATTCATATCTTATTATAAGGTTTTAACTGAAGTATCGTTTAAGATCCCTTACAGTGAATGGTATGCGCTTTGAATGATGAATTTAGAATCGTTCTGCATCAACTCAAGCTTTTTAAGTCGTATTTTATTAATCACTTTTTACCTAACCCTATTAACGTAACTTATATTTTTGCCAACATACAGATTAAGATAACTTTCTTAAAAAACGAGATACACAAACAAGACTGAGTCAAACTGTGTCGAATGTCGTGTCATTGCTTGTACAATGAGAGTTAATTAGGAAGGGAGTGTGAGAGAAAAACGTGGAGGGTGCTCATTGTCCTTATCCGATATTTTCTAGGATATGTTATTTAAAAATTCTGTTACTTTGTAGAAGTGAAAGGTCGTTATTTCCATATTTTAACAAATAACGCTAATATTAAATTGAAGATATCCTTCTAGTGTCAAGAAGGGCCAATGTTGTAACGCAAGCGTGTCGATAAATTTTCCTTATTGACGAATTAAAAATCGTGGTTCCATTTCCCAACTCAAGGAGTGTTCTAATAAAAGATGGAAAGATTGTTTCAAGATATTAAAAGTAAAACTATGTAGTAAATGATATTTCACGAAGCCCGAGGTGCTAGTGGAATATTACTATAGTATCTTGTGAATGTGCCACGGATATTAACCGAAATTCGAAAAATGTTGGTGAGTTTTCATGTTCGAATCGTAATATAGACCTCAGATCTGGTATTATATCGAGTAATGAATACCTAAGGGCTAGGCACCAAAGTTTTCGAACCCCTCACTCCCTTCATATTTGTGCCTAGCCCTGCGGCATTCATTCATTGATATTATATATGCCCTTCGGTCTATATTTCTTAAATATAATTAATTATCCCATGGTTGCAAGGATATAGATCGAATATCACATGAAGATATATTTGATATGTGGATTTAGATATCATATTTTAGCATAAAATTCGCAAACCATCGAATATCACTTTTAAACAATCGAATATCACGTCTTAAAAAGTGATATTCGATGGTTTTAAAAGTGATATTCGATGGTTTCGAATTTAAAAAAAAAATTATTTTTACATTTTTTAATTATTTTCAAAAATATTTAAAAAGATTTTCAAAATTTCCCCAAAAATTTCAACAATTTTTCACAATTTTTTCAATTATATTTTCAAATTTTTTCTCAAATTATATTTTTCAACTTTTTTCGCTGATGATGATTTCCCATGGGATAAACGGACAATCCCATGGGTTTTCAAAAATATCAATTGTATCCACTCATGGATACAAATATCTTTACTCAGTCGCTGCGCTCACTCATGAAGATATCAATATCCACTCATGGATATAAATGATATTTCTTCAAAACCATAGGATATTCCTATAATATTTGTTTCATATACAGTCACTGTCAAGCTGCAAATAAAGTACGTACTAAGAGTAAAATCAAAATTACAACTGACTACTCTCAAACCCCCGGGGATATATAAAAAGAATTACATTAGACTAAGATGTTACTGAAGAGCCCTGGTGAATATCATTTGATATTTCATAATCATGTTTACAGCCGTGGAATATCTCTTCTTATTGCCCAGTCACGGGTAGAACCCAGACCAATCAGAGAATGAGAAATATGACTGTGATGTAATAATCCTAATTAGAAATACACTTGACTTACTCAAACCCCGGGGATATATAAACAAATTACACTAGACTAAGATGTAACTGATGAATATCATTTGATATTTCACAGTCATGTGTACAGCCGTGGTCACGTGTAGAACCTAGACCAATCAGGGAATGAGAAATATGAGAGTGTTATAACAGTGCTAAATAAGAAATTACATATTCCAAGTACAAGCTCACCTTTGTTTTGAATCTCGTCGTGCATTTAAAATGCGACGAAGTTCCATCTCTGGCAATTCCCAACGGTACGAAATGCACCACATTACAGTACCCTCGCAAAAGCATCAGCAGAACAGCGGCACTGCATGCGGGTATAATCGTTCCCAACCAGGTTTTTCCAAGATAAATGGTGCAAAGTTCCCATACCCCCGTCCAGTGACTTACGTTGCTGACAGCAAACACATATGTGTAAACACGAGTAAACAAAACTACGATAATTTTGTTACAAAAGTTATTGTTTATTTGTAGCTTTTTAATGTGGTGTTTGAATGTTCCATCTAGGAAATACGCGGCCGTTATCAGGACCAGAGCGATCCCGATATTCAACCATCCTCTAATTTCAGCGTCATTTGGTAAAATATAAAAATTAATTAACATCCATGTGCCCCTCCAGAAAGCGACACTTAACGGTGTCAAAATAGCACAACTTATTAGGACATCAACAACGAAAAGTAGATAATCCCTTTTTCCTCTATTTTCCGATTCCATTTTAGGTAACCTTATAACTTTCTTTTTCAACTATACTTGAATAGTGTTACGTGCAACATGTGGATGATCATATGATCTTCTCAAGTTAAGACTTGTGTTGTCACATCCAGCTGACCTGTATGTAATTCGAATATTCCAAACAGTCCCCTTTGATTTAAATTGTATTCGTATGAATAAAATAATGAGCTCCTATGAAGTAATAGACCAGTGACAAGTCCCTTCTAAAAGATATTCAGTCAGACGTCGTTGTTTAATGAATATATCAAAAATGTGATTTTAAATTCCTAAAACTATACGAACATAAATTTCCTCTAAGACATAGCGCATTGACTTAAACAGAATATTTTGATTTCAATTCTTATTTTCAAATGAACGTGGCAAGTACACGTTCAATTATTTTGCACGGGTATTAATGTGTTTTAAGAAGGATTTACGATAACTTGAGGATTGCAGATGTTAGAATCATACTTAAAATGCCTGGACAAAATACTTCCCAATAATCCTTTTCAGAATGGTGTACAGTGGACATTTTTGCTATTGTTAAACAAATTCATAAACAGTATGATAAACATATAGATTAGCCCATCTTCCTTTACTCACCCTTCCTCTCAATTTGAAATACAAAATATACCTAGTCAACGGACAAAGACATTTTAAAGTCAGGTATAAAGATGGATCAAGTACAATACATAAGAACAAGCACAATAAAGGCACAGCAGTACCTGATTTGAATTGTGTTTGTGCCCGTAGTGTCTGTCATTGAATTGGCTTGGCCTTCCTAGAGGAGAAATGAGTGAAAATAAAATAAATGTTTCACATGTAAACCATAGGGCATCAGTACAAATGAATCCTATGTGCAATATTTGAAATATCTAATTCAAAGTTCAACACGTCATCGGGTGTTGCTGAGGACGTTAAGCGAATTGATGAAACGTGAACATATTCGATTGTTTGATATGATTAATTTCATAATAACAACCCCCTAACCAGACAGCTTATTCGGCATTAAGAGCTTAGTCACAGCAAAGCTTTTTGGCCTCTTAATTGTCCTAAATAGTAAATCACATATTTTTATTTGATGAATAAAATACATACACACTGATATAGTGTCTTTAAGATTTATGATTGGATTTCTTAAGCTAAGCGTTTTATTTCGCTCTGTAATTTAGTGATTTCTGGCTTTGAGTAGCGTTATAAAGTTTTCAAAAACGTTCTGTTATGGCTACCACAATGTGTATACCACCACCCGACTCCAAATCTGTGTCAGTCTGGACAGGTTGCGGTACAGAAAGAATCTCTTTTGACCTCGAGAGGGCAATTGAGGGACACATCTCAAATCTGAAGTAAGATTTGAACTTCTGAGAATTTGTAGATGATTTTGAAAAAAGGTCATTTTGAAGCAAGTTGAAAAGATACCTTTTTGACCTTGAGAAGGTCATTGAAGGTAAACTGTCTATTGCACTTCAAAGAACTTGAAGATGATTTTGAAAAAAGTTAAAGTCAGTCTAAACAGTATTCGTAAGTTACTGGAAGTTGTAAGAATTTGTTACAGACGCCAACCATCAACCGCCGGACGCCAGCCGCAGGACACCAACCGCTGTCACAAAAACGGAAACCATAACAAAATATTACATTTCATTTTACAGATTCTGATATTCTTTCCGGGCTGCAAAAAAACATTTAATGTTTTTTCCGGGCTTACAACTTTTGATCCGGGTAAGGGGTAAAATTCGGCATAAAGTAAGAATTCGAAGGTTAGATACGTAAAGCTGGCACTCTCAGCTTTCCAATGGTATGTTAGAACCTTAGTGCAGAAGAGGTGATTTGAAAATCACTAATGATTGCACTCAGAAGTCTATTTTGCACACGTATTGGTCTTGGCAATGAACGAAACTAACCTTGTGTGTTCTCAGGGTTTTGTATCTTTTTGGGAACCGGTCCTACACGCTTGCCATTTTGATATAATATTCTAGTAGGAGTGCCGTTTGTCAGTATTTCAAACGGCATGTCAGAGTACAACAGCGTGATGCTATTATGGTGATTATTTATTGGGTCAAAATATATTCTAGCATACCTTCTGGAAAACTGAACACAATACATAGCCATCTAGCAGACGTCATGGTTATAAATGGAAGGATGTTACTGCATATGTTCGTTTGTTTTTATTTATTTAATTTATAGTAGCAAGTTTATAATGTTATAACAAAATTAACATTTATTAAACGTTAAACCCAACCAACCTAGCAATTATCAAAAAACTTGATACTCTGTTTAGTTTAAATTACAAAACATAAATGTAAGGAACAGATTCGTTCATATATAAATCTGATAGAGCCCATGCTTAAACCAAATGTTGTCTTCAAACAAAAGCCTCTTTAATATATTTTACGATTTTACATGTCTCATTTTCAAAATGCTTTTAAATCTGTCTTGAAAGCGTTCTTGTTCTTACTTTAGGTTTTAGATTTTACATTTACATTATGTACATGTACATGTAGCTATTCCAGTGTTTACTCATGAAAAACACATAATAAAAATGTATTGCACACTATTGTGTATATTATTGCATACTTTAAGCTAAGCTTGTGTTGGTCACATCCCCAAACACCTACAGCATCATTCAAAATGAATGGGTTTAAGACAAGTATTATATATACCGCTTTGCGAGTGTCTTCATCTCATATTTTCAAAATGTATTTTGTACTTTGTACATGACGGTTATAAATAATTTCATAAAAATGCATTTAGCACCATTGTAATAGTTACCCTGGAATAGTTACCATGGTTACATTATCAAAATACTTTCCTCTTGCGGGGGTAAAGGTAAGTCTAAATGTTGGCCGATTGTCAAACCAAAAGTCTGGCCATTAACGACACTCTTAGGCAACACATATCCCTCATCTTTATTAAAATCCTTCGTTGGTACAAAACGTAGGGATTCTTCAGTATGCATATGTATCAGTCTGTCCTTGCAACGGTCTAGCATTGCAGTTCTGTCTTGGTGTGTGATGTATTCCACAGCGTTAAATACTTGTGGTTTTATGATGTCGAAGCCAACAAACCTGAATGGAGACTGGAATGAAACAGGAATGATTAGAAACAGGTAGGCCTAGCTTCTTTTTGTCCTAAGAAGTAATGTTGATGGAGATGAGATTTTGAAAATAGCTTCATTTGTAAAATATGTAATAATTATAAAGACCTGTGGCAGGCCCGTAGCCAGAATTTTTCATGGGGGGTTCACTTTTCCCAAAAATTCTAGGGGGGTTCGATTTGGCATATTTGGCCAAAAACCACACAAAAAATGGTCAGAATGGTGAAAAACTTCATGATTTTGAAATAAATTTTCGTCTGTAATGTTACAACTCTAAATCGACAAAATTTTATATTAAAAGTCACAACTTAATATTTTGATTGTTAAATATGCAGAATTGTGCAGAGCCATCTTTTGAAAAATAAATTTTTCATTTGTTCAAGAATGCAGATCAGCCAGCAACTTGGTAAAAATGTACATGTATGTATTGAAAGCGCCCTCTTTAGCTTAATGTGAGCTAGCCTTAGAATATAGTGAACTGGTGAATACTGCACCAATAATCAAAAATGCAGAGTCACTTAAATCATTCCTGGCCAAAGCTATTTTGGAGGTTTCTGCTGGTGAATGGCCATTTTGATGAAATATTGAGCAAAATGGCATGTTTTCATATAGCATAAAATAGACTGTATCAACACTCTCAATTATTGGACGTCAGCACCCCGAGATATCTTGGGGTGGTCAGATACGATTATGATGTCATAAACGAGATATTTCGGGGTTGGTCAGCAATGAGTTAAATCACTTTTTGTCAAAACAAAAATATAATTGAACCTGGCCTGCAAATTTCATGTTCTGCGATACTTACAATGAGGTTCCAAGCTACAATTGAAATATCTCCACCTATCCCGAAGCTGCAGAACATAGAACGACTTTGAAATAAATCTGTTCAGTGGTTTTCCTGGAATTGCAATGACAAGATTTATATAAAAACTACCAAGATGGCTGCCAGAATGCAAGATGGCCACCAAAAAGTTAGTAAGCTCTAGAACTTCTTACCATCTAACATGTGTGAAAATTTGAAATAAATCCATCACGTGGCTTTCTTGAAATTGTGATGACAAGAAAGTGAGACGCAGCCTGCCTGCCCGACGCCTGTTAAGCTGACGTCAATAATATTGACAAAATCGTATCTTTTTTAGGTATGATACAAATGATACAATAATTGCAATCTACTTTTCATTGCGGTTGTCATCAATCCGCCAAATTAAAACAGCCGTCAAATTAAAGCAACTTACAGTAACTGACTAACCTTCATGAAGCCACTATCATACATATGCTGCTCATCAAAAGCAAAGTTTTCTAGTAACACACGTTCCAGCCAACCTTTCATTATTGCTGGAAAGCCACTGTACCACACTGGAAACTGAAAGATTATCAGATCAGCATCCTTGACCTTCACTAGTTCAGCTTTGACGTCATCGCACACGGTACCCTTAGCAACAGCTTTTCCCATCTCCTGTTGATATTTGAAACCTTCTGGACACTCTAAACCATCACCTTAAAATGCAAATAATATGGATATTCATGTGCATTTTATTTCAATCTTAATTCATTAGTCAGGAATCTAAACTAGTTTTAACATCTCAGTCTTTTCAGTTAAACAAGAATTCCTTAACTTAGGCATAAATAATTTCACAGTTGATACTTCTGTTGGTTAAAGGGAGAGTCATGAACCCAAAAGGGTTAAGGTTATACCTGTATTTCAACCAATTCTTACAATAGAAATGCTGTATGTTGAGCTACTAATTTTAGGTATATTACTAACTAATGCTTTCAGTGAAAAACAAAAAATTCAACAATGAGATAGTATAGTACTGTAAGTTGCTTTAATTCACAGGCTGGTATCGAAATATTTGTCCACTGTGACGGAGCATGCTATTTTTCATAAAAACATTAAGAATACTTCACGATTTATTTTTTAACTCATATGTTTCGTTATACCATACAAAATTACTTACTCCATGCAATGGATATATCATTTGAGGTAATTTTCACTTCTGTTTGAAGTCCAATTACGCTGGGAAGAAAAGCTATTGAAAATGGCGCCGGAGTATCATACTTCAAAATGTACCATTTCTTGTTTTATCTTTCTAATGGCACTATATAGTGACACGATAATATTTACACATGGTTTCAGCATAACTATGAAGGTATAAATGAAATGTTGATGTATTTGGTCTTTTAAATTCTTTTATAAAAAATAATGTTTAATTTTTTTTGTCAGCTGTGACGGAGCAGTTGCAAATGTGAACTGTAAAAATGCTCCGTCACAGCGGACAAAAAATATTAATATTATTTTTTTATAAAAAAATTAAAAAGACCCGATGCATTAATATCTTATTAATACATTCAGATTTATGCTGAAAACATATGTTAATATTATCGTGTCACTATATCATGCCATTAGAAAGTTAAAAAAGAAATGGTACATTTTAGAGTTTGATACTCTGGCGCCGTTTTCAATAGATTTTACTCCTAGTGTTATTGGACTTCAAACAGAAGTGAAGGTTACACGCAAATGATATATCCATTGCATGGAGGAAGAAATTATCTTTGATATAACGAAACATATGAGTTAAAAAATAAATCGTGAAGCATTCTTAGTGTTTTTATGAAAAATAGCATGCTCCGTCACAGCGGACAAATCTTTCGATACCAGCCTGTGTAATTTGGCACTGTTTAATCAAGCAGATTAGCTAAATTTTGTCATTTTGACTGCTATTCAATTTGACGGATCAATCATATTCGTATTATTCAATTTTATCGCTCCTGGATTCGGATTGTTATCTGAGCCAGCAGGGACTGTTTAGCTCTTCAGAAATAGTCTAAAATTGACATTTCGTATTTCCAGATTTTCACCAAAGTATTTTGTAGAAGATTACACATGGAAAAGGAACTGGATGAAAATCTCTGTGGGATCCCTTTGTTAAATTAGTATGTGTTGCTCAATATATTATGGTATTCCTCCCTTCTTTGTCAAAATGGTAAAGATTCTACTTAAATCTCATGGAAAAAGAAAGTACCAAATTTGAATGTCAGGATGCGTCATTCTGTAACTGATACCTTTTTCATAGCCTGCTTAAGTTCCTTCACAAATTCAATGAACCAACAAAGTTGCTGATTGGTTTATGGTAAACAGTGTAGATGTGTTTAGTGTAGGTAGGTGTTTACTACAAAGAGGCGATTTTATACAGAAGTCAGTGGAATATGGTATGTGTTGAGAAGGGATGTTTACTAGACATAGGTGTTCACTAGACTTGGGTGTTCACAGAGAGAGGTGTTCACTAAGAGAGGTTTAACTATACTTCAAACTAAACTAGAATAATCATGATCAAAATATGCTACATGTATCCTTCATGGTGAATATTACCAATATACTTCATTTAAAAACGTTGCGTCACTTCTCACTGACCTTTTATATCATTCCGTGAGGCCACTGGGTTGAAATTCATTGCATACAGATCTGAGATGACAACATTACTGCCTTGGGATTTCAATGTATCTACAATTGTATCCTTCAAAGCTCCATTAAATGACTTAGGTTCAAGGTGCGCATAAACCACAAGGACGTTTGGAGCCTTATTCTGTTCTTCACTCATATTGCACCGAGAAGACCTAGAAAAAATTACAATGCTTTACTTAATATTCGGTACTTAAAATAACTTGTGTAATCATTTCTACTTACATTTCTAGTGGCAAAAATATTGAAAATAGATCATGTCTCCTTTTTCAGATGAGAAATTGTAGGGGATCTACTTTATTGCAAATTATAACACCAGACAGTGGCGTAGCCAGCAAATGGTGACCAGGGTTCGATTTTTTATGTATCCACAAATCTCCCCCTTCATCGGTGTACCTCACATAAAAGCTTTTTTTGTATTTGTCATACATACAATGTACACCCCTCCAAAAGTTTGGCAACAATTTGATTTTCTATGTTGAAATAGTTTTTGATGAATCTTTTACTGAAAAGATATTGAAATCTGGTAGCAAAATCATACATTTAGATTTAACATGCACTTGTTTAATTGTTCAATGGAATCCAAATCAAGGGTTAGCATACATTGAGCCAACTTTTGTTAAGGGCAATTTATAACATATCTAAGGGACATGTTTTTGACGAGCTACCATTGATAAATCGTCATTCCCAATTCATGCTTTAGAGTTCATTCAAAGATTTCAGACACATGCTATTTTTCCACACTTTTAGATGATTTTTGAAAAGAATCCATCAAAAGAATTTTATTTGATATTTCATTTTGTAATATATCTCATGAACTTACAGTTATTTACTGAAAACTAGTATATTCAATAGCAAACATTTTTGAAGAATGTAATACTTATTTAAATCATAGTGCACAATAAAAGTCGTAATGGCTGTACGAATACTCTCAATTGGTACTGACGATAAAAGTGACAGATAACAAATAGTATTGTATTACATATGGAATGAAACATTCGATCACCGTTCCGCTGTTTTTATCATTAATGACGAGAATCATGAATGTTTTTAGAAATGAAAACAGTTTAGATGAACTTGTGAATCATTATAAACTTTGATTTGTTTTTGAGAAATCAACGTTTTATTATTTTATTCAAGAATGCTGCCAAATCCTTTTTAGACACACGAATTGAAACTTGTGGTAGGCCAATCCTCTGTCTTTCTGGCAAATACAATCCCCTCCAAAAGTTTGGCAACCTAAGCTCCCTGCCTCCTCTTTATATTTGAATTTTTATTTACATAACCTGCGGGGAAAATACTTATAATATTATTGATTAAAATGTAACTCATTTCCAATTTTGCCTCCAAATTTTCCCAATTTTTTTTACTTCTTTTGTTGAATTTTTTAATCCGTTTGTGATTATCAATGGATCAGTTTTTTAGAAAATAAAAAGTGATTATCAGAAAGCAATGCATATTGGTACACCACGTGATTGTGAAAATGTAATACTCATTCGAAATAATAAATCTAGACTTATTTGATATAATCCTCCTTACGCCTTTGCTTTCCTCAGCAAACGATGACTGAATACTGTCTTCAGTGTTGTGTTTGGCTGAGTTCCATCAATGTAACCTAGCACGATGGATGACATAGAACAAACTGGTAAGTAGACACATAGTAACATCACATCATTTTGTTATTTGAACCATATGAACTGGTCACCAGAATAAGTGATTTGACTCTAGTACATGTTGTACATGTACATACAGGCCATCTAAACGTCCCGCAATTTGCATATTTGTTGCTCATTTGCTGAAGAAATTGAAGTCACGCCCGATTATTTTGCGTGACAGAATATGTCACGCTAATACAAATTTTTATGATAATTGTCAAGCAAAAATATTTCAGGATTATACTGTAAGAACATAAAAAAATGCCAAAAAAAAGAGCATAGTTTTCACGCAAATTTGTATATGTCACGCATTTGCTTCTATTTTTCTTGTTCCCCTTTTGACAGTCAGCGAAGCAAGCACGAAAAATTTGAGATGTCCCAAAATTTGGATATTGGCCCAAATTTGGGGGGGGTAAGTACGAAAAATTTTGAACGGAAATGTTTTTGCTTGACAATTACCAGGTAAAATGCGTATTTGCGTGACATTTTCTGTCACGCAAAAATAATAACTGGCTTGACTTCAAATTCTTCAGCAAATGCGTGACAAATACGCAAATTGCGGGACAGTTGACAGGCCTGCACAAAGAGGTGTCTCAATCTCAGGCCTGTCAACTGTCCCGCAATTTGCGTATTTGTCACGCATTTGCTGAAGAATTAGAAGTCACGCCAGTTATTTTTGCGTGACAGAAAATGTCACGCAAATACGCATTTTACCTGGTAATTGTCAAGCAAAAATATTTCTGTAGAAATTTTTTTAAAAAAGATCGTCTACACAGTAAAAATACGAACGCCGAAAAAAAACGTACGCATATCGTTCGGACTTTCCACGCGAATTTCGTATATGTCACGCATTCCGTTCGCAATTTTTCGTACCCCCCCCCCCCCCCCCCCCCCGTTGACGGCTGTTTGAAACGCGAGTGTAGCGAGCACGAAAAATTTGAGGTGTTCAAATTTTGGCAAGATGTAATAAAATTGAAAACAAGGTGTTCAAAATTTGGATCAAGGTGTTCAGATTTGGACCAAGGTGTCCACATTTTGAGGGGAGGTGTTCAACATTTCCAAGTCACTCATGTTAGGTGTTCTCAAGTTGACAGGCCTGCAATCTGGCCCAGTTTTACATGATCTGAATGGATGGAATGCAAGGATTCGATGGGCTGAGATTTGAAAAACTATGATTTGAACTTGTCGATTTAACATGTATCCCAACAATAAAGAAAAAGTAGGTTGTGTTCCCCTAAGAATTTTAAAATCATATTATCGCCCACTTGCTTTAATCTTTTCAAGTTGATTTCCTTTCATCCTTGACAAAATGATGTAAAACATGCTATGTAAACAGTGTAAAAGATGGAGTAAATGTTAAATTATCATACTCAATTATAAAACCACCGAGATATATCAAGATAAGTTTGTAAACCTACCTGAAAGTAAAAATTTCGCCAGATTTGCAATATTTCAAAATTTCTAACGAGTGTACACCACATGCTATCTATTGCAAGACTTACGCCTGACACAACCGTCACCATGTTAATCAGTGTTTTTTAAGTAGCGCAAGGATCCTGCCATGACCGTGGTAGTGTTATCGTGTAGGCGTGTAAGCCTGGTATAACCGTGACAGGCTGGTATAACCGTGACAATGTTGTATTCTATTGCAAGGCCTGTCATGACCCTGGAAGTGTTATCGTGGAAGCCTGGCGCGACCGTAGCCTTTATTGTGGTTTATAACTGAATGTGAATATTAATGTATAGTAGTAATTTTGATTCTGACATGATTAAGGTAGTTAAACACCATGATCATAGTATTAAACTGTTTAATTGTAATGAGGATCACTTAAAATTGTTAAGGATATTCCTGGCATTAATGTCATACATATTTACTAGTCATTGCAATACATTATAACGGTCATAGTAGAACTAAGCCTAAATCTCTACATTACCACCCTCATACCTGGCCTTGCAATACTATATTACATTTTCACGGTCATACCAGGCTTTGCGATCCCATAATACATTGTCATGGTCATGCCAGGTTTTCAAATACACATTGTCACGGTCAATTATAGCAATCATAAATTTCTACATCACCACTCTCATACCCGAACTTGGAATACTATATCACATTGCCATGGCGGTCATACTAAGCCTTGCAATACTATATTACATTGGCATGGTCATGCCAGGCTTTGCAATACACATTGTCACGGTTATAGCAGTCCTAATCGTAAATTTCTACATTACCACTCTCATACCTGAACTTGCAATACTATATTACATTGTCACGGTCATGCCAGGCTTTGCAGTACTATATTACATTGTTACGGTCATACCAAGCCTTGCAGAACTATATTACATTGTCACGGTCATGGCAGGCATTGCAATATAATACTGCATTGTCGCGGTTATACCAGGCTTTCACGAAACATTACCACGGTCATGGCAGGATCCTTGCGCTACTTAAAAAACACTGAATAACATGGTGACGGTTACGCCAGGCGTTAGTCTTGCAACAGATAGGGTCTCGTGTACACTTCTGGCCACATGAGAAAGAAAATAAATTTTGAATAGACGTTAACTCAAACTGTACAAAGTAAGCAGACTATATTGTAATATGTATTGCATTATTTGATAATAAAAGTAGAATTTTCAATTTACATATTAAATATAGTGTTAAAATTAATTGTCTATAGGCTGTTTTTAAGTTTTTTCCCAATTATCGCCCACATATTTTATTTCTAATATTTGGGATAAGATTTTGAATTAGATTGACCTTGTAAGAATTACGGACCCATTTCTCGATCAAGTTTAATTGCTTTAAAAGTCATAGGTTATGTTTCTCTAGGCTTTTGCCTAATTGCTTTTACATAAATTTAAATATTCCCATAATATTTGGGTAAAGACTTGTAGACTGTACCCTTCGTCTATATCCTATTTAGTCTGAATTATATTCAGACTATAAGGCACCTATGTAAAAGTTTGGTAATCCAAAGTATTTGTTTACATAGGAAGTGCTATTCAAAATGGCCGATAGGGTAAAATTAATTTGCACATTTGTTACTTCACCTACAGTGGGGGACAAAAATAAAACTCAACGTTCACAAGTTGTCACAATGAGCTTATTTCCAAGTTTCTTGTCTCAAACTCTCCCAAACGGTAGAAAAATAATTCCCGTTCACTAAAGTAGCACAATAAATGAATCCAAAGCTTCATACCTGCAAATAATGGATAAATCCCTACCAAATCGAATGAATGTTTTCATGAATCGCCATGTTTGTTATCCAAGGATGGTTGACTCCCAGAATGCAACATCAGTTAACCGTATTTACTCATGGCAGGTTTGAAAATGGCGGAACAGCATTTTGAAAGCTGGCACGTGTCATGTTGCATTCTGGGAGCCAATCCTCCGTTCCGGCGCAATCGGGCGACAAAATCACCTCAACATTTGAAGAGTCGGCATAACATGTGAATATCCAATTCAACTTTTGAAGTTCTTATTTGTCATTAGGGACACAAATTCCACTATATTTGGACTTACTAAGACGGAGAAAATAGAGCACTGAATACACTGAGGTAAGAATTTATTACATGTGCGACAGCATGTAATTTTCATAGCTTTTGCAATTCTTTATGATCCCCACTGTAGCTTTATTTCCACTTGACAATATGCTGTGTTACTTTTTATTGCATTTAGTTGTACCTTACTATTTAATTGACATTTTGTAATGTTTATTTTATTGAATAAATGGTTCCTCTAATTGATAATTTTGTGCAAAAAATTTCACTGCAATTTCCACAGGAAAGTAGTACATCATAACAGACTGACTTCTAGTCAGTCTGTTGGATACATACATGTACTAACCCTTCGTCTGAATAAATTCAGACTGTAAGTCACCTATTGTAAAATGTGGTGTTGTATGAATGTTACAAATAAGTTTGTATAATGATAAAATGATTACCTTATAAAGAACTTACAATAATTTTTTTTCGCATATTGTCCTCTTACTGAAGATATCCATAAAATATACAGACGCTTCTTGTAGCTAAGGTTTTGATTAGGTCAAGCCATTTTGGCAATTCCAATTCTAACGATAAACGAGATTTAACCAGTGACATCAGTAACCAAATAACACGTTGACATTGCGGAAGCGTATTCGATTTATAAATTTGTTCTGGAATTTATTATCATCATCCCGATTGATTTATGTCAGACATGTATAAAGTAAATAGAGCAGGAATATTCATAAAAAAGGGCCGAGGTAATCAAATGGCCATGAGTTTGAAGTTAAAAGTCATTAAGTTCGAAATTTGCATATCTCGTTGGATCTCGTGAACTCAAACATCCTTGACATTGATTTTGCTACCTACTTATGAACACATCCTGAAGTTTGGTGAGTCTGAACATTTCATTATTTTATATCAACTTGTGCCCGCCTTATACAAATGTTTTTGCTACTAGATGAACATCTCTTCAACATATTCACCAATTTTCAAGGTGAACATTCTTGTAATAAACAAGGAATTTATGTGCACAAAATATGGCCGAAATTTCCATGTGAAGGGTATCAATCATAACAGACTGAATATTTGGTCTGTTGGATACATACTAGGTAGGGACTGATGTGAAATAATGAATGTAGCCAGGGGGATCAAGCCCCCCCCCTCCTGGCAAGCATATTTTCAAAATCATGCAGTTTTTCACCATTCTGAGCACTTCTTTTGGCCATTTTTAGACCCCCCTGGAATTTTTGGAAAAGTGAACCCCCCTTGGCAAATCCTGGCTACAGGCCTGGTTTTAGCCTTGCCCCAAGTCGGTATTTTTTACTTTATCTGATCTTGAATTAATACCGCCTTGTGTAATCCGATACATCTCCACTGTTATTATGATAAATTATGCACCAACTAGTACGCGTGCCCTATAGCATTAGCCAATAGCGGTAGTCATACACAAAAATCAATAAATAAATCCACGTGTTCGCCATGCGGTTGTGAAGTTATATGGGGCATGCTTGCAGTCTGCAAATCCAGGTATCTCCCTTACAAATAAAACGCATTCACCAGAAACATAATTACTTTTCTTTATCCTTTTTACAGCATAACTATAAGTGTTTATATGTGAACTGATCAGTCATCAATTTTCTGATATTAAATCGGTTCACTACATTCAAATTACTTTCAATTATATTTGGCAAATAAAACGTTTATCGATTTTGCGAGGGTCATTTTCAGTTTTGCTAGCTGATGAAAGTAAAGCGAGGTAGGACTTCCCACAATGCCACTATCAAAGGTTCCGATACTAACTTGCTGATTGGAGCAAAATCAACAACTGTATTACCTCGTGTGTTTGTAACCTAAATTTAGACATTGAAAGATCGCGTGCTATTGGTCAAAATCACCGACATAAACAAACTGTCGGTAAAGCACGTGGCTTTCTCTTTGGTACAAGGCGGTCATAATAGAAATCAAGATAAGTAAAAGAGACCGACTTGGGGCACGGCTAGCCTGGTTTAGAAAAGCTATTAACTGCATAGATCATGAGTTAAAATGATTTTAGTTCTGATAAGCTTGGAACCATTTTAGTATATTTTAGCTGAACATGATCTGTACAATTCGTTGAATTGCTGAGGATAAAAGGGTTAACTGTTTCTATAAGGATAAGGCAAGATTCCTCTTTGCTCTGTTTCTCAGAATATGTAAGGTTGCTGCTTCTGCTGCTACTCCATAAGCATTAGTATTGGCTCGTTCATTGCAGTTTATTCCTTGATTTCTTGGGTCCCAGAAGTAGTTCAACACTGAGACCTTGTGAATCAGGATGGTTTGCACTGAGACTGTAAATCAGATGTTTCTGTATATTGAATCTGGTACCTACATTGTTGCTGGATTTATTTTTTCTGAAAATGCTGAAAATGTTTTCAGAAAATGCTAAAACCAAGTGTACCTTATCGTTTTTTATTAAAACAAATTAGTTAATCCATTCACAGATATTAAAGGGTAATAGAGCTCAATTATGAAAAGTGCATGGACTAGGACTAATTGAAAATGTTTATTTCTTTCAGTCTGAGTATGGCTACAGACAAAGAGGGATATGTGATCGGGCAGGTTTCTGAATCACTCTCAAAATCTGCTATGAAAAAGAACTCACAGGATCTATCTGCCCTTTTTAATGTGAAGCCTAACCCACCAGTATTTGAAGACACAAATGTAAGTTACAAAATTCGAGAGCAATTTGATCACTGTGATTAAAAACTTTATTTAAACATATTCATGCATAATTGGCATTACTTTGAAGGTACATGTACAAGTACTATCAATAAAATGATAAATGACACATTGAATCTATTACCGAGTGTTGTCAGAAACTCCAATGTTAATCTTTACAAACACAAAATTGAGCAGGGAAAATTAGTAGGTCTTTTTCATACTTTTAATTTGGTTGATAAAAAAGATGGCAGTATATTCTACACTGCCATCTTCAATTCTAATATGATCCCATTACATAAATTGTTACTATGTCTATTTTGTGCAGATTGAGGCCCAGGAACATGTAAGCTTAAATGTTCAAAACTTCCCATATATTGTTAATTGTATTTTGTTTACCATCATGAAGATGACCAATACCAATTCCAAAATTTGATTGGTCAATATTTTCTCACTATGCATTTCGCGTAGCTATTTGCGTGACCCAAAAGTTCTAAATCAAACTAATTACGCAATTTTGTTTTTACACCTGCACGCTAAATAAAACAATGACAACATCGGAAGTATTCTTCTTTGTCATTGCTTTAATAGTCAGTATACCGAGTTTAATCAATAAAAGATTGTACAAAAATTCGGAAACGAGTACTATAGCTTTGCTTTCGGACCACTGAACAGAGTGACCTAGATAATAGCGACGCTTCTTCTTTGGTCTACTGCTCAGTGATTTGTTGGTTTTTAACGTAACTCTATGATGTAATTTGAAGAGGAATACTTTTATTCAGTTGTGGCATCGATGTTGCAGTCTGTAGTGCGGTAAGATTGGCATGAAAGTATTGAAAGTCGAATGGAATTGTTTTTTCCAATATGGCGACTAGTCAACTGATCATGTGACCTTCTCTTCCGGAATATTTTCTCACTTTTCAATCATCGTTTTCACCACGCTATGAATCAAAACAATGAAAAAAATAGCTGTTATATTAAGATTAATAAGAGATCAATCGTTTATAATAATTTTTTCTGTACCCTCGTACGGGAATATGAACGAATATATCATTTGAAAAATAGGTGTGATTCCCCATGTTAAACCAATGAGGGAAAAACAAAGAAGTATAAATTTGTTCCTCCGCGAACTGCATCATGGGAAATATTTTGACCTTATAAGGAAAGATTTTCGCGTCTCCTGTTTTGAAGAGGGAACAGGGATTTCCAGAATTGGATGGTCTTGCATATGTACAGTCATCAGGCCCGTAGCCAGGTGGGGGGGGGGGGGTTCGCAGGGTTCGGGCAAACCCCCCCCCCCCATTTTGAGCACTAAAAACCTCTCCTTGAAAGGACCCTGTGTTCTTTTATGCACTCATTTAACATAGACATACAAGTACATTTGAAACGCTTTTGTACAGGTTGTTGACCACTCAGTCAAACACACTGATGTACTTTACGCAGACAAGCTAATTAGGTATTCCCCGAACCGGGGGATCGAATCCGGGATCTCTTGCATATATAGTACAAAAGCTACAATGGTAGACCAGAGAAACATGTTTTATATGTCTCTGGGTAGACTGTTTGTTGAGTTGTTTTACAGGTATACATGTACATGTATCTAATATCTACTTTGCTCATACACATTTCTTTTTACTTATTCAGGTTAAAAAGAAAGGTAAGGGAAAGCAACGAGAAACCAAGGTGAAAGAATTGAAGCAAAAATCTACTGCAAAAGCTAAGAGTGACTTAAAGAAAAATGACAAAATACTTGAAAAGTCTAAAAAGTCAGGCCATGAACGAGGGTATAGTCCACCACCAGGCATAGTTCATGAATCATTGCAGAAACAGTCGAGGAAACGAAAGAAAAATACCCTTCTTGAGGAAAGGTAAGTGTTACAATATCTTTTTGGGTGTGATGGTATGGTACAATGTATGGTATATATGGTATGATATGATATGATATGGTATGGTATGGTATGGTATGGTATGGTATGGTATGGAATGGAATGGAATGGTATGGTATGCAATGTTATGTACATGGTATGGTATGGAATGGAATGGTATGGTATGCTATGCTATGCTATGGTATGGTATGGTATGGTATAGTATTGTAATGTTATGGTGTGATATGATGATATGTCTGCTATTATTTCTCCTTTCACTTATGGCACTTATTGTGCATGCATTGAGTTTTTGATATGAACCATGTCGTATGGTTACAGTAAGATGAAATGTGTTCTCATGTGATGTATTTATCTAAAATGTTGCACATGTATTATATTATTTTATAATGGCTAGATATGATGGTGTTCTGTAGATGGTATATTGTATGTATATTGGTGTCAATTATATAGCTGAATAAATTGGAATCGCCAGGCTGGTCCAAAGGGGGTTGACTTTTGCGTACAAATGGGTTGTGCCGCTCCACACCAGGTCCACACAATGCAAGCTGGGGGTTTGGGAGCAATCCCCCCTTCTCTTTGGGAGCATTCCTCCGTTCCCTTGTGCATGTCTGAGAGCCATTATTTGCACTATTAAATATCCGCCAGTGCTTGGTAATATTTTTCCATTAACTTAAGCAAATATTTGCTTCCACAAGTATACCCTCTGCTCTGGACTGGATTTTTGCAATTTAACAGCTTAACACAACAGCTCTGACATGTCATTTTTCTGATTAATTATCTGAGAACAAATTAAATTCTCTACAGAAGCTGTATTCAGATTATTAATGAGTTTGGTTTCAGTTCTCAGAATTCAGTATGATCAAGGAAGTAAGGGGAGGTATCAAAACGTTGATGTTGACTAAATAAATCTAGTTATAGGAGGAGTGGGTAACAATCGAAGTCATTTCAGTTTACAAATTATTGTATTATTATTTCATCATTTCAAATTTTTTGCAATTTTGATTTGGAATGGTGTAAAAAGATAGATTTCACCTGATGTTTGTCTTCATCAAGATCATTCATATGATTCTATTCTCTCAAAAGTTGTCAAAAAAACTAACATCATTTTAGAATTTTTTTTTCAAATTCTCAAACCGGAGGTAAAGTGTTCTTGTTTTGGCTTGCCCGGGAATTGTTAAAGTCTGCAATCAACTTTCATTGTATTTATTTTTAAGGGGGAGGGGGGTCAATCTCAAAACTAAATTTATTTAGTTTCTTATCATACATTGAACTTTTGATGCCTCCCCTAATGTATTGTACATGAGGAGGATCTGAATTTTTTGATTGAACTTGTCCTCCAAAGCAGACAAGAAATTTTGAAATACATACCGATTAAGATTCATATAATAATCTTTTGGACTGTTTATTTTGAAATTTATAGTTGCGGTTATAATGGCCAATCCTCCTTGTTGAATTCCTATATGGTTCTATAAGTCTTATATGGATCTATCACATGGGTAAGGTGACCCAATACCAATACTGAACTTGAGGGGAAATATCCCCCATGCTAGTGCAGTATCAGTTTTTTGGTTTCACTTCTCAGAAATGTAAATCAATAAATATTCAAGATGTTTGCAGACTTATAAATTTTTATCATTTAGAGGCATTCAGAGTGTAGCTTTTCGAATTATTGGTGAGTATTCTTTTATCTTAAGTTTTGTCAAGTAATCTACTTATTTCAGATAACAAAAATAAGTTTTTATATTGAACCTCTTGAAGATCTCTTGAATCAGTATTTTGATATTTCACTGCATTGATTTTCCTCCTTTTTTCAGCTTATACATTTACAATTTATTGTGTATGATCCTAGGAAGAGTTATTTTATTCATGTTATGAGGGGATTATACTCTCAAATTATTAACATTAATTATATTAACGTGAAATATTATAAAAATTTATTCAATAGGATGACAAGAATTTCTTGAAGTATGTTACATTATTGTCAAATTACTCACATTGACCAAAAAGTATTAAAACACTAACACTATATATATTAGAGAGCAAACTATACATCATCAAAAACTTCTAATATACAAGAAATAGTGTGTCTATGCTATATATTTCCCCACCATTACTACAGGGTGTCAAATAAATATGTTTTCCCCCTTAATTTCAAAAGTATGAACTTTTGTGCATAAAAATGCATGTTGTTGAGCTAGTCATCTGATACTTCTTGTGGAGTTGCTCCATGAAGCCTAGTTTTAATATGCTAAAGAACAATTCAAATATCATCCAGGCAAAAAAAAGGAGGGGAGAACATATTTATTTTACACCCTGTACAGTCCAAAATCTAAATATCATATTACAATGAACTTATATTTACATTTTTCTTGCTTTTCTGACATATAGATATGGGTATACGTGGTCTCCTTGGTCATTGCTTTCGCAATCCCGAAAAAGTTGGAGACATTGAAGATCTTGTGGCAAGAGCAAATTCACCAGACGGCACAGGAATCAAAATTCTTGTAGACTTTACTAATTTCTTATACCAACTCACCACATTCGTGGATGGATATGTGAAGCAGCAGAATCCAAATAAACAGATGCGCCATTTGGGTATCTATGGGGGTGAATATGGTATTCTTCATCTCCTTGTTAAGCGCTTTGTGAATACTCTTCGTCATCACCACATTGAAATTGTGTGCTTTGTGGATCCAAGCCAGGGCACTGATCTAGATGCATTCACAGCAAAACTAGCTACTCACAAAATAAGGCATGTTCAGGATGTGAAAAAACAACACCAAATGCTACAGAAATATAAAGACACACATGGCAACTCCTGCATTGAATCTAGATTTCCCTGCTTGACTATGGACCAAGCTCTAACGACCTTAAAGTCCCTAGACGTGAAAATTCAGTATCCGAAGATTGAAGCTGAGTCCGCCATCATGGATTACATGGAGAATTGTGATTTATATACAGTGGTCCTAGCCAATGATAGTGACTTTTGTGTAATGCAAGGATGCCGATTTATTCCCATGGATAAATGTACATTTGATATCACAGGTATAATACATTATTTCTTTATTCATTAAGATATGTGACCTATACCAAAATATATGGGGGTTCTAATCCTATTTGTATTATTGGAGTCTGATTGATATTTTTTAACATCCTGAGGTATTATAATAGATGAAGCAAATTATTTTACTGATGTGGTCATAAGTACTTGTGTCTCAAGTCAAATAAAGAAGTAGTACCAAGAAAACCATCAAATTTGATAACTCGTCCTGTAACTTAGATCCCAATCATTATCTTTTCCAGGAGAACTAAGAAAAGCATTGTTCAGTTCCCATGAGGTACCCATACCATTAAAAGAGTTGAAATGTCTCATTGTGACCCCGGAAAAGGTAGCAAGATCATTTCAGGTAATAAGAAATATGTGTGTAATATGAGGGAATGGCATACAAGTGATAAGGTGCTGCATTAAATACATTAAGCACAGGTGCTAAAACACCAAGACAAATTGCAAAACACTGCCAGAAAAATCGAAAGAACAAACAGTTATAAAGAAATTATAAGGAAAAGTTAATTCCCAGTGCCAAATTATGATTTGTAAAAGGAAAGTTATTTTCAAACTTAAATTGGCCTATTAAAAGCAACCTATGAAACAATCTGCACACAGAGTTTACAAAATGCAAGCACAATTACTAAGTGGAAAGAACCAAAAAGGACTAAAATGCAAAGGGAAAATCACTGGACTTAAAGATGAACAGATAAATGTTGATATTTTATTTCCTAAGAACCTTATGTATATACAATGACTTATACCCCCCCCCCAATTATTCAGAAATCATAATCACAATTGAAAAGATAAAAACGATGCATAATTTTATTGTCAATAATAAATGATCATTGCCCATATTAATTTCAGTTGGAAAATTACACAGAGCTTATAGAAGTGGCTGTTCTGACTGGAAGTGACTTCACAAAGCCTTTCATACAGCAATACAAACTAGGTAAAGGACTAGATAAAAATGCAGAGACAATCAGAAGATGTCATAAGGTCGAGCATTCAGAAATAAAACAAAAACTGGTGAGCAAACATTTTAAAATTAAATTTTTACTTCGAACCAAGCTTATAGTTATCAGCCCTTTGTATATGATAAAAGTGTAGGAAATTTTAAGAGGGCATTTTATTTAACTTTGATGACTCATGCAATTGGAATTGTGCTGTTAGAAGTCAAAAAGCCATTAACTTTAACATGAAGCCACGGGTCTCCTGTTTCAAATGGTATGTCATTTATTCATATATGACCACAGACCACTGAATAATTTTGCACAACTGGCAAAAACTTGCTCTGGACCAAGTTTTAGACACTACAACAGAGAATCACCAATGAGGTTGCTGCTCTCCACCAGAACCCACAGATGATTCAAAGAGGTATTCGTGACATGGGGAGATGAGCCAATCTCTGTGTGTAGAGAAATAGTTGCCATGTGAATGGGCATGGGATGTAATCTTTCATGAGTTAACTTTCATAAGATGACAGACACTGGCAATGATTGTAACTTTACTGACTTAACTGTTTATGCCACTTCTTTTTCCATACGTTTGTACTGTTAAATGAAGCATTGAGGATACCGATGAATACTTAATGTTAAAATCGTTTTCCTTAGTGAATCTAAATCTGAAACTTGTGTTATGTAACTCTTGTGACCAGAATTTAATCCCCTGTTGCAATACATAATGATTTACCTGATTGCACAATAGGATTAGTTGACTCAAGATATTTCAAAACTTGGCACAAAGGCCTTTTCACCCATGCGTGAAAAAAACAATGATTATTCAGTGGTCCATTATCAGATATGAACAAATGACATACCATTGGAAAGAGGAGACACATAGCTTCATGGTAAATTAAATAAAATAGATGTAATCATCACTGGTTTTGTGATTTATTACTTGTTGCATTTTTTGGGACACTCTGTTATTATATTTAAAGATACAGTATGCTCATCTGCAGTTATATCTTCATGTGACCCTCCCACTAAAATACATACTGGCACATGATTAAAACTGAAAACACACACAAAATGCATAATATAGGCATACACCGATCAATATATGTGTATATTGATGTTTACAGATCAATATTATGAATTCTAATATAATATGTGATGTCACAATAACTAGAACAATTGATTTATTGGTCTATATTGGGACACATATGACCACTTATCTAAAAAGTTATTTTTTGGTTCATTTATCATATTAGAATCGTAAAAGACTACGATTTTATTCTGGACATTGTCAAAGACCTCAATCCCTATGTGATTTCGATCTTTTAACAATGAACAGAATTAACTTTTCGGTCATACAATTGCAGCATAAATCATAGAATCTCAGTCTTTATTCCTGAATTTAAACAAGTGGTTTGGGGTAATTCAAGTTTCAGACACTGTCCTTTAAGTAAACCATGTGTGATCATTTCAGAAAGCAAATCCTGAGTTCAGACAAGCAGTGGAATACACTAGAAAGTTTTACAAGAATGAGAAAGATCCTGTAACAGAAAGTTCCACAACTATAACAGCTTTATACTCCTATTTGGAATATGCTGTAAACAATGGATCTATGAATCGACGTGTACTTGCTTGGTAAGAATAGTCTTGTTCGATTGTTCATTCCCCTCCATAAGTATTGCAACAATAAATCGTCTTTGTGTCACTCATCAAAGCTTGTTTATGTGTGGCAATAAGACAAAACCATAATACTTTTCATAGATTTCTGAACTTTTGTAATATAGGGGTAAAATTGAAATTAAAACATTGACAGGCTTTTTTGGTATGCTAATCCAATAAAAACTTTTGATTACCTAACTTATGGAGGGGAGTGTATATGTATTTTGTGAAATCACTTGCTGAAACATATTATTTAGCTATATACTATAAAATTGTTTTTGGAAGGTAAGTTGAAGTCATTTGAAAAACCACTAAGCTGATCAAATAAGATATTACTCTTTTAAGGTACAATAAAATATATTCCAAGTACTTGGAAATGGAAGACAGGGAGAATGGTACACCAACTGTGTATGAGGTGACAGAAGACATTAGGGTTAGTCTTTATGCAATGGTGTCAGAAGAGGGATCATTGATGTATGTGAATGAGTATGGCTCTACAAACAGAGAAGATTATGCAATTAAAAAGGTAATTTTTAGATGTACTTCCTGGGTTTTAAAGACTGATTTGATATGTAATATTTTAAATCCTACAACATACTGATTAGCCCAGCCTACTAGTGATACTAAATCACAATCATGTTAAACATCAAATTAAAAATTGTGATTTATGACTGATCTATGTATTCCTGTTAAATAGGTCCATTTTGACGATGTTAAGGGCAAGCTTCCATCTGCCATCAATGTCCCAAGTATTGGAAGAGCTGAACAGCTTCACTTATTTCACAGGATCTTGTCCCAACAAGACTTCAAGGAAAACAAAACAGGGCAAGGTATTGTATTGTATTCTATATAAATATTTGGTTACTAGGTTGTTAACGGATGATTATTTTATCCTTTTGATTAATGAATGCAAATATGAATATCTTAAGTTATTCTTAAAGTCCATGTACAAGCAAATGCATGTACTAATGGCCGTGGTTAGAAAATTTCATTTTTTATTCACATTTTTGTTTTCTAGATGTTCATCCATTTTTTGATCAATATCAAGATCATAAAATGAGTTTCAAGTGCTATGTTATCAACTATTTGATTGGTGTAGTTAAGAGACCTTCTTCAAACTTTACACTATCACCAAAGGAACTTTTTGCTGTGGTGTATATGGTTTTTGGAAATCATCAGAATGTGCCACTCAGAAATTACAGTCCAACTGTGAAATATCTGACACTGTCAACATACATACAGGTACTGTTCATACTTTTTTTCTAGGGAGGGAATGGTCACCCAAAATGTTCCATTCTGTGGGACGGTATTGGCACTTGGTACATGAGGTAGCACTTATTGAACAGAATATGAACCTTCAATTTCTGAATCAGTATTTCTTCCTTAGATTAGGCTTTAAAAAATGCTGATAATGTAAAAACAATCATGTTAATAGTACTTCAGTTATTATATGTTATACTTACAGTAGTAAAATATATAAATTATCAATGTTAATATTTTGCTGATTATTCCTGTCTATCTGTTTATCTAAGTAAATAATGTCACATTCTGAAAATGTTGTGTACCCAAGGCTTACATATTGTTACAGATTTTTTGTTCCATCCCATCCCTCTGTATTTCCTTTCTTAAAATATGCAAGTATTTTATTTAATATATTTCCTTTCGAAATTTATGGTTTACTTATTTGTTTGCCCATTCACTTTTCTATATAAGCAGATATCAACTGATACATCTGAGTGTCATTGTAGAGAATGTTTTACATACAAATTAGTATTCTAGGTCATATATCAGCATGCTGTTCATGTAGCAGAACTTCTTTGTATACGAGATATAGTGCCCGAGCCCCAACATCTCTTCATTGGCCACGTATTTGTGCATTACTACACATCCTTCAGCCAGACAGGTAACATCTGGGAACAGTGCAATAGGCTGGTAGTATTATTCATTATAGGGAGAAAACAGAGGAGGCATGTTATCGCATTAGCTTGGCGGTTGGGGGTGTCACTTTCCTTGACTGCACATTGCTTGCAAACTTCTTGTTGGATTTATTAAGAAAGTATGAGGAAAATGTATTACTGAAATAATTGTAGTTGATTGATAAGACAATAGGGGCACCCTTTCAAAATGAAGTTAACTATAAACTCTAAAAGATTTTTTATAAATGTCAGAAAAGGATAATGATATGTTAAGTATAATATGTAGGGAGTTTTGATCAATTTCAAAGCCATTAATGTTATGCAGATTTTCCTGTAGTATGCAGACTTTCTTTACTTTTGTGAGAATATTGACTTTTTTATACAACTAAAATCTTTTGCAGGCATTCCAGGAGGAGCTAGAAGTGATATTCAAGGAATCTGGTGCTCACTGATAAATACCAACACAAGACTAACACCTGAGGAGAAAACCAAATTCATTAATCTTAAATGCATAGCTTAGCAGCCATTGAACCATGGTCTGTTGAATTGAACATTGACTTATGAATACTGTAGATGCAAGGTGCATTTTGTACATATGTTTCATATATTGAAGACATTTGAGGCATTTGACGAGTCTTTTAGTCATGTTAACCTTACCTAAGATAATAATTGATATTTAGCTTGACTCATATGTAGATAATACTCTATTAGGATATGAAGCAAAGCATTGGAGCATCATTTGCAAGATGTAATGACATTAAATAAGCTTCATACAAAGCCGACTCCTTATTTCAAAATTGTGAGACTCCAAAAAATCCCTATCCCATCATTTCCATGATTCTTTTATATTTGCATTTAGATTACTTTGTTAGTAATCAATTAGACTATGGGGCGAATTGGTCTATATTAAACATGGTTACAACCCGGTTAAGCTATAAATGATATATTATGTGTATCGCTAATAAGCTGATTGTCATGTGAATGTGATATAGTTTATATATTCGTTTATGTTAGTTTTAGTATCATTTTTATGATTTTTATATATACTATATATAATCCATTTAGATTTATGCTTATAAATGATGAAGGTGATTAATCATATGTGCTGCGTGAATTATCTTATAATCAATTTCTAGATTGTTTTAAATAACTATATATTTGGTATCTTAAATGTAATTCGCTATTGTTTTTTCATTTTAACAATGTGTTAAAGGATCTCATAGTAGTTTTGAATCTGTTAATTGACACATGCAATGTATTCTGCATGGATGCCCATATTTTATGATTTATTTATTAAATATATTGTTTTTAGCTTACCACATGTAATATCCTATCAATCAGCTGCAAATCCAAGGTGTTATAAATTGCTAGGGAGACACTCTCCTGAAACTGTAACAGTTTGAAAGTACAGTACATTGTGTGTTTGTTTTACTGTACACAGATCTGTACATCTTATTGATAAATTGAAATATAATTGTGTTTTATGAAACATGTTTGTCTGTGATGTTGTATAAATTCAGATATACACATCTTTTTACAATGAATGGTACAAGTGGTTCATAAACTATATATGTGTATTGGTGAACTGTTTATGTACCAAACTATGTGTGTATGATGAACCATACATGATTTTGATGAACTGTTCATATGTTTGATGACCTATATTTAATTTGAATATAGGGTGTCTCAAAAAAATGTACCCAAAAGTATATCAACACCATAGATACACCAATCAATATTTTCAGACATTTTTTGCATGATCTTGTAGATAAAAGATGAAAGTTTTTTCCCCTATACACAGTTTTTAATTCAGTTTTGCCTTTTTGATACTTTAACCCATTACCTTTTACACCACATATTGAATGTTACCTCATATTTCGATGGCAGTCCGCATCCTTACTACTACATTGTTCATCACATTTGATATTTCTGGTGGAATGTTTTGATTTCTGTTCGGATGCTGGTCTTAAGTTGTTCTAGGTCTCTTAGCTTGGGTTTAGCATAAAAATGGTCCTTCAAATAGCCTCAGAGAAAAAAGTATGGGCCGTCAAATATGGTGAATAGGGATGCCCTCACAATGTCTTATAGCCCCCTTATACAGAGAGGTCAGAGGTTCAAGAAACTGCATTGGTTGGGATTCTAGTGTAGCTTTTGTTGTGTGTATCAATTTGAGACCACTGTGTTTTCATTTGGATATCATTTGGTCTCCAGGCTAGCCTGCCTAACTCTGGATTGTAACTCCTGAATCATTTGCCGATAATTGACCTGATTATCTGTGTTTGTTCTGCCATCGTCATCCTCAAACATCTTTCTCTGTGGCTATTTGAAGGAGTGTTTTAATGCTCATTCCAAGCAGAAAGACCTAGAACAACTTAAGAGCAACATCCAAAGAGAAATCCAAAACATTCCACCGGAATTATTATCAAATGTGATGAACAATGTAGCATTAAGGATACAGGCTGTCATCGAAATTTGAGGTTACATCGATTATGTGGTGTAAAAGGTAAAGGGTAAAAGCATCAAAAAGACAAGACTGAAATAAAAATGGTGTATTGGGGAGAAAACTTTCATGTTTTGGCTACATGACCATGCAAAAAATGTCTGAAAATATTGATTGGTTTATCTGTGCTTTTGATATACTTTTGGGTACATTTTTTTGAGACACCCTGTATATGTTCATGTGTTTGGTTAATGTACATGCATTTTGGGACTTGTGTATGTGATTGATGAACTCTTCATAATGTTTTGTTAAATGTACATTTTTTGTCATGAACTTAACATGTGCTTGATGATCTCTATAAGTGTTTGATGAAGTTAACATGAATTTTTCATTTGTTTGAAGAACACTCTTCATGTGTTTGGTAAACATGTATTTTGAGAACTGTATATGTAATTAATGAACTGTCCGTATGTTTTGTGAAATGAACATGTTTTTGCAATGAACTCTTTGTGTGTTTTGAAATGTACATCTGATTGTATATCTGAATTGATGAACTGTACATGTATGTGATTATCTCTCTGAGTTTGATGGTCTGTAGATGTGTTTGGTGTACCGCACATCTATATGTGTTTGGTGGACCGCACATCTATATGTGTTTGATGGACTGCACTTGTGATTGATAAACTGTTCATGGGTATCATGACTACATGTGTGTTTTGAACTGTGTGTTTGATTGATGAACTGTACATGTGTTTGATGAACTCTATGTATGTGTGGTGGACTGCAAATGTGATTGATAAACTGTTCATGTGTTTCATGACTACATGTGTGTTTTGAACTGTAAATGTGATTGATGACCTGCAAATGTTAAATATGGATGTGAAATATGTCAATTTTAATGTTAAAAGTACATGTATCACATATTCATGAATTCACTGCTGATTAATAACCCAATGCATTTCAATCATATACCTGGCACATATAGAAACATTATTATTATCTGTAGAGAGCAAGAGGAAGATAATATCCCCAAGGTGAAGAAAAAGAAGAAACGTGGGCAGGAAGATGCTGATATCGAGGGAGAGGATGAGGGAACCAAGAAACAGTATAAAGACAGAATCAGACAAAGGAACCATAGGAAGGATAAAGCTAGACTGAATAGAACTGTATTTGTGGGGAACCTACCTTTAGAACTAACTAAGAAGGTATATTATCTGTCTCTTCATATTTCAGTTTAAATGTATGCACAACAACCAAAATGGAAAAGACCCAATGAATATTGCAGAACACAATTTAAAAAAAAAGAAATATATAAGAACCGGGTGTATTAATGTATAAAAACCAATTCTACAAAATCTTTCTGAAACCATAGCAATACTTCATGATGAACAAAGTTTCTTAATTTCTTAAAAAACTCTTAATACACTAGTCTTTATATTGGATTTGTATTCTGAAGTTAGCTAGGGTTATATTGCAGGTCCGTAGCCAGGATTTGCCAAGGGGGGTTCAGTATTCAAAAATGTCCAGGGGGGTTCATATTTGACAATCTTGGCCCAAATATGGCTAAAATCACTTGAGAAGTGCTCAAAATGGTGAAAAACTGCATGATTTTGAAAGAATTTTTGGCCAGGGGGGTTCACCCGAACCCTGCGAACCCCGCTGGCTACGGGCCTGTATTGTAGAAAAATTTAATCATTCAGTTGAAAACTTAAATTCAGAAAGAATACAGGAAATAAATTGTAATGATTATTTTTCAGGATATTCAGAACCTTTTCAAGACATATGGTGAAATAGAGAATATTCGGTTCAGAGGAGCTGTAAGTATTTTGTATCTTGTAAGCATTTGTCTTGTTAACATTTGTCTTTGAGTTATCCTGAATATGTGCACAAACTAAAATCAAAATAGCCTGTAACTTAGGGTCCATCTAAAGACTGAAACACAAACCTTTTTATCATTGATACTGTTCACGGCTATCACATTTTAAATGTAGTCCATGAAGTCTCAAAATTATTTACAAATAGATGAGTTGATATATTGATACATAAACAGATTATATACCTGTTTTATTTGGATATGCAGTCACTTTGGTTCTATGAAAAACGTCATTGCCATGCAGCTAGATAAACTTGTCAGCATGTTGATAGTAGTTTAACCTTAAAATTGAGATTGTTATTGGATGACATTTTTTGTTCCAGGCGCCTGCAGACCCGAAGTTGCCTAAAAGAGTTGCAGTCATAAAGTACGTATATGTTTTTCAAATGAGGGACACCTGGATGTTTGAAGAGGGGGGACAAACACCAATAGGGGCCTCTTTGTTCATGGATATTATTGCTAACCCTCCAATATTTTTCTGGGGATCTTTGAAATGGCAAAACACACTGCGATATCTAATCAGTTTTGAAGATTTAAGTTCCAAAAGTGTTCAGTTTTAACCCGTCTTTAATTCAGTTATATTATTCTCTCTCTACAGGAAGGAACTTCACCCAGAGAAGCAGACCATGAATGCTTATGTTGTGTACAAGGAGGCAGCATCTCTCAGCAAGTGTCTTAAACTGTAAGTGTACATGTATTTAGTTATCATTTAAGTATCTCTTAAGTCGAATGTCTAGAAAAGTATTTTTTGTATAAGAACTAATAATTTTGCATATTTAATGCCCTATTCTATGGTCATTTCTTAATACAAGGATATTTATTGCAAGTGTCTAATTATGATATCCATGAATTATGAATATTTACATGTCACTTTTACTTGACATACTCAGTTACTTTATTTGATGCATATATTCCTTGTTTCTTACCTTATGTAGCGGACTCTGAACCTATTTAAAGCCCTTAAACGGTAAGGCTATAGAGAATTACAGCAACGGTTAGGGGGGCAGATCTGACTATGTCAGGAGCCAATATTGATGAGGAAATTCATATTCTAAGAACAGAGGTGTTTATCCAAACTACTGCCATTTTAGTAATTACTGTAACTTTGACCAGCTCTCACTTTCCTTATAGGGGGGTTAGAGTCATTTTAGCGGAGCAGATCTGACCCTCCCCCTAACTGTTTCGAGGTTAATATTAGATAATACAATTAGCGCAGTCAGATGTCCAGAAATGAGCCCTTTATAGTTCGACTTTTTCAGGAAAGCAACAAACTTGGCACAGTTGTAGAAACACTTGATCTGAGTGGAAAATGATTTCGGGGCAAGTGATCCGGAGTGGTCTTCATGGATTTTTTAGTCTCTGACCCCAACCCCTATCATGCGGGGAGGGGGTACATTATAAAAAATAAATAAAAATGGTTGTAAAGTAAATTTTTTTAAATGACTTCATTTGGTGATTGCTCTGAGCCTTGAAATTGAGACAAACCGATTGTAGATGTGGTGTTTAGTGTGGAAAATGCATTTTGACCCAATTATCTAGCGTGAATTCATCTTTTAAAGGGTCAAATATGGGACATCAAGTTCATTACAAATATAGAATATGGAAGTACTACAAATATAGAATATGGCTTGGGTAGCTCATGTATTTTTTGAGATAAAAATTATCGAAATTTGAATTTTTAAGCCCTTGCAGCCTAGGGGTAACCTTATTCTACCTTAATAATTTTTAAGATATGCAATGTATGGGTCTCATATGAGCTCAAAATGGTGCATTGAGTCTTGTTTTGTCATATTATTCCTATAATTGGATCGAAAAATGATTGGAACTTTTCAAAAAAAAAAAAATTGCATTATCGCTTCTGAAGGGCCAGGGGTAACCATATTTTACCTTAACTTTCAAGGTTTGTAATATATGTATCCCAAATTAGCTCAAGATGGTGCATATAGTTCTGTTTAATCATAATACCTCCAATAAGATGTAGAAAATGATTGGACATTTCTTAAAATTTGAAATTTTCATTTTAGCTTATGATGGCCTGAGAGGGGGGCTTATTTAACCTTGAACTTTTCTTAATTATGAGACGTATGCATCTCAAATGAGCTTAGAATTGTGTCATATACTCTTGTTTTGTCATTTTATTCCTTAGGAGATGTAAAAAATAATGGAAATTTGAAAAATGACATTTTTAGCTTTTGACAGGTCACGGGTGATTTTATCATATATTACCATACCTGCTTCTGTCAAGGATTCTGTCAGTGAATAATGACAGTCAATGATTGGGCACAAGAATGCCAAATGTTATCACAATAATTTTCGAGATAAAATGATCTCAAAATGGGGAAAATAGTCTGTTTTTCACTTTATTCCTACTGAGATAATGATTAACAACAATTAGAAAATTCAGTGACACATTTAAATCTCAATCCATTTATTCCATTTTTCCATAGCAGTAGAATACAGATGTAACATCACATCCAATGATTGTATGAGAAATGGGGAGGATTAAACTTTGGTCATGGGCAGGTAGATATTGATATGTTTTCTCCCTTACCATATGCTATCCAAATTGACTTTTTCAGTTTTTAACATCGCATATATGTCAGGATAACCACATCAGAATTAAATGTAAGGAGTATTATTCTTTCTCTTGAAGGCCATGATTGAAGCAGTCTAACTGAAAATATTGAGAAATATCCTTGAATCTGCTTCTTTTTATAAGAGCAAGTGTGATGGCAGAACCTCACTGTTGGGCTAAAACATTGCATTGCCTCCTTAATTTATGTGGTCACTTTCTTCTTTCCATCCATTTCAAGGGTTTCAGTTTCCTCCTTAGACTATCCTTGTTCCAGTTCCACAAGTCTCTCTAGTGCTGTTTTAAAGGTGCAACAATTAGTGCAAAGGGGCCATTCAACGATCATGGACCTGTGTCAAAATATATTCAAGTTTTGATATTTCATCAAGACTAACATATATGTTTATTTTTTTCCAAAGAAACCCCCTGGATGAACATTATTTCAGCTGATTCCTCTTGAAATGTTTTGGATCTTAAAAACCTATAAGTGGGACTCCCTTTATAGAAGCTTTGAACTGAATTTACACTTCTTAATGCTGAAATTGATAGTTTATCCGTACATTTTAAGGAAATAGGTATGTCAAAGCCAAATATTGCCCTGATAGCTCAGAAAAAGTAAAAAAATTGAATCTTCTACAGACCTTGTTGCCCCTTTAAGCTAGTGTCCTTGTAAACATCCCAGCTGACATCAAGGCAATGAACTATTTGCAGACTTTTACATCGGTAATATCATATTTGCATAATCACCAAATTTTCTTTATATTTCACTGTTAGCATGTTTAACTTTACATGCCCTGTCTATTATTTTGGCATCTACTATGTAGCTTAGTCATTCAACTTTGATGTTAATGAGCATAGATACAAACAGCACAAAACTGGAACAGTGAGGAAAGTATATCCTACTAATTTTCTTCTGTGGAATTGGCAAGATTTCCTAAGATAGTTGGAACAAGAGAGAGCTGTTTTCTTTCCAGGCATCAAAACTGAAACCCTGGAGGAAGATGGCAAGAAGATAGTGACCTCACAATGAGGTAATGCAATATCTTAGCCCGATAGTGAAGTATCTGCCATCACCATTCACTCGTATGAAGAAGCATGCCAAAGACTGCTTCTGTCATGACCTAATAAGAATCATAGTCAATACAGTTGATTTTGATGTGGTTTAAACTGGCAGTAACTTGTGCTGAAAATGTCAATTTGGATTGCATATGGCCTATGGTGAGGGGAAATTCCTCCAGAATGTACGACCTGCCTTAGATATTTCAAGGCCACTTGGCCATGAACGAAGTTTAGCCCTTACCATTTTTCATACAAACGCTAGATGCATTCTGCTACTACTCTTAGTCAACTGATTTGCAGGAATAGAAGGTGTACCCAGAGGTTACGCAAGTGTTCTTAAGCTTTAAATCTTTTTTGATACCCTAAAATTAGAAGACTAGAGTCCTTATTCATTCTGATGCATTCTTACCCACCGTTTCTATCACCACATGAATGTGGCTGGACTACTCCCACTGCTGATACTGAGGCCACAACATAAAATGTAGTTCATGGGGTAGATACCTGTGTCAAGAGAACAGATGCAAATGTTTGAAAGCAGATCTGATTTGCTCTGAGCTATGTAGCTGTAGGAGAGACTGTCAGAATCCATAAATTGTGACTCCTTTGATTAGGTTTTATAGATTTGGCGAGTATGAACTGGACTTATCAAACATTTTCATATCTTAGAAAATGTTCTATAAAACTAGATAGTATTGCCATTGGTACTAAAAAGGAATAAATGGCTGTTGAGGTTCATTTTTTATAATTGTTAATCATTATTGTATATCTCAGTAGCAATAATATGACAAAACTAGACTATATTCACTATTTTGAGCTCATTTGACTAGACAATATGATATATCTTTAAGGTAAAATTAGGTCATTCCTGACCATCATAAAGTACACTACCAATCTCAAACTGCATCAAACAGCATGGTTTCATAAACAGTGCAGTAAAAACAGTACTGAACACAGCTATTTTCTAAAACAGTTCTGAGCTGTAAAAACAGTACTGTACTACGCTGTCCAAAACAGATGGTGTTAGAATAGCATTGTACATTGCTATTTAGTGCAGTACTCTGACTGCACTGTTCAGTACTGTTTACAGCGCTGCAAGAAGATGTTGCAGATTGGGGGTGTAATATGAAAATGTCATTTTCTTATAATTTCCAATCATTTTTTCACTCCTTGGGAATGATATGATAAAACAGGACTAAATATACCATCTTAAGCTCATTTGAGGTGACTATGTCTCATATTTAGAAAATTAATAAGGTAAAATAAGGTTACCCCAGGGCCATCAAGAGCTTAAGTGAAATTTTGATTTTTTTAAAAATATCCGATCATTTTCTACATCTTATTGGAAGAAGTATGATAAAACAGAACTATATGCAACATCTTGAGCTAATTTGAGATGCATATATTACATATCTGGGAAATTATTAGGGTAAAATATGGTTACCCCTGGCCCTTTAGAACCGAAAATGAAAATTTGATTTCTTTTTAATTCCCAATAATTTTTTTACATTTAATTAGGAATAATATGACAAAACAATACTTAATGCAACATTTAGAATTCATATGAGGCCCAAACATTGCGTATCTTAAAAATTATTAAGGTAAAATAAGGTCACCCCTAGGCCGCAACGGCTTTAATATCCATATTTCGATAATTTATTTCTCAAAAATTACATGAGCTACACAAGCCATATATCATATGAGTGATTAACACCTATATCTCTATTAGTATGAATTTTTTCAGGATGATCAGACATCACATTCTTGAAAAACAGTACTTTATGTCCCATATTTGACCCTTTGAAAGATGAATTCACGCTAGATAATTGGGTTAAAATGTATTTTCCTTCCTCAAAACCACTTCTAAAATAGGTTTTTCTCAATTCCAAGGCTCAAAGCAATCACCAAATGAAGTCATTCAAAGAAATATACTTTACAATTATTTTTATTTAATTAATTATAATGTACCCCCTCCCCGCCTGATAGGGGTGGGGGTCAGAGGCTTACAATCCATGAAGACCACCCCGAATCACTTGCCCCGAAATCATTTTTCATTCAGATCATATGTTTCTACAACTGTGCCAAGTTTGTTGCTTTCCTGAAAAAGTCGAACTACCAAAGGGACATCTGACTGCGCTAAATAGAAAATTAGAAGTAAGAATTCATTATTTTTTTTCAGCAATGGTACCTCTGTAAAGGGTTGTCATATCAGAGTTGATTTGGTGGGAGAGACTTCTAAGGTAGTTACATGTACAGTATATATCATTTAGGACTTCAATAAAAGTTATCACTGTAAAGATAGTGTGGTAACAGTTAAAACATCAGAATACAACCTTAGTTATTAAGCAAACTCAAAAATGAAGTTTTAGAATAATAGAAGTCTGGTTTGAGTTTCGTCAGAGTTGAATAGCAAGAACAATAGATGTCAGCACTGGACTTAATAATTGAAACAATTTCATATTACACTTCAACCCATTTACCATTGATAACTTATTGCACCATTTCCCTGCATTCAAGAATGCAAAAGACCATTTCCGTGAATAATGGTGTATTGTACAAAGTTCCATTATTTGTCATGTAAATGTAAAATGAACTTCTTTAAGTGGAACACCTCAAGTGGAACACTATTTAGAAGTACCAATGCTGTTCCACTTACACAGGTTTTACTGTATATTTGTGTTACATCAAAATGGCTTTAATCTTTGATTATTTGAATATTATTTTTTTTATTTTTAGCATGACCACAAAAGATCTGTGTTTATTGGCAATCTACCTTATAGTAAGTGAATGTTCATTTCAAATCGACCATAGTGTATATTCATTTGAAATCTACCATGTATAGTAAGTCAGTGATCAATCAAAATCTATTGTAATACATTTAAAATCAACCATGTCAAAGTTGTTAGCATTTAACCATCGGAAATCTACCATGTCAAAGTAGTTTGCATATATTCATTTGAAATCTACCATGTATAGTAAGTCAGTGTTCAACCAAAATCTACCATAATATATACTGTCAAAGTAGTTTGTATAAATCCATTGAAAATTGAAGTCATGTTCATTGGAAATCTTCTATGTTGTTAGTAATATATTCATCAAATAAATTTATATTACACACTTGGTCTTGATGTGATGTCTATAAAAAACACATTTATTTTGCAACTTAGACATCTGTGTTGTTGTATAGCTTTAGAGGCATCTTTGTAACTCTTTTAATTTTGAACATCTGTCCCCCCACACTTTCAGTTTGAACAACAACATAGTATTCCCTTTAATAAAGCATTCATTCTCGTTACAGATGTTAAAGAGGAGAGTCTCAGAGAACACTTTGATGAGTGTGGGGACGTAGAGAGTGTAAGGCTAGTCAGAGACGCTAAATCTGGCATGGGCAAAGGCTTTGGATACATCCTTTTCAAGGTACCATGATAATGTTATAACATTGTTGTAAATTTCTCAATTATCACACTGTGAAATGTTAACCTGACATACTCTGTAAGCTTAACTGGAATATGTGTAACAACTTCAACATTTTGTTAGGTTTTGATTATCTTCAGATCTTGTATTCATTTTTAAAATAATAAAATGATGCATTTGAAGAGAATTTATTTTGTACCCGCATATATTTATCATTTCTTTGCATGCTTATGCATGATTTACAATAAATCTAAATTTTTATTTAACACCGATGAAAAGGGATTAAGGCCTGCTTGGTATAGTACTCAACGAAAATGCCCGTGATTCATCACTTAGTTTGATACCCTTAATATTATCATATCAAATATCCAATGGAAAAGAGTCTCTGTGTACTATATGTCCTAATACCCCAATATCTTATTTTCATTGTCCTGATCATTTAATTGGCCTAATATGCCTCATATCTTATTATCAAATGCCCAATGGGAAAGATTCTGGGTATCTCATTTGTCCTAATTCTCTAATATGTTATTTTCTGATATCAAATGGAAAAGGATTCATTTAAACTAATACCCAATATATGTTATTATATAACAGAAACAGATTGCGATGAATCGTTTATTTGGCATAACAATAGCCTCTATTTCGTATCATTCGGCATAACAATAGCCTCTATTTCGTATCATTCGGCATAACAATAGCCTCTATTTCGTATCATTCGGCATAACAATAGCCTCTATTTCGTATCATTCGGCATAACAATAGCCTCTATTTCGTATCATTCGGCATAACAATAGCCTCTATTTCGTATCATTCGGCATAACAATAGCCTCTATTTCGTATCATTCGGCATAACAATAGCCTCTATTTCGTATCATTCGGCATAACAATAGCCTCTATTTCGTATCATTCGGCATAACAATAGCCTCTATTTCGTATCATTCGGCATAACAATAGCCTCTATTTCGTACCATCCATCACATTTGTATTTTATTACATTTTATTGTTTGTCATTTATTTCTAGGATTCTTCTAGTGTTGAATTAGCATTGAAGTCAACATCCAAGAAATTTATGAGAAGAGATCTACGTGTCATGCGGTCGGTTAAAAAAGAAAAAAAGACAGACGATAAAATCATATCCTTTGTATCAAAGAATGATGGTGTATTAAAATTTTTAATCATTAAAAGATCTTCTCATATGCAAAGTCCCTTTAATAGCAGGTTACAAATGGTGCTGGTAGTTCACTGATTTTTTCAACAAAATCACATAACGTTAAAATTTGTCCTCGGCCATTCTTTCTGTTCCATTGGATTACATTAAGGGTCACGCCCACTTTTCAGAGGAAAACGTGAACAATATTTTGCCAATTTCCCCCCCCCCCCCCCCTCCCCATATGCTATATGGGATAGTTGGAGCCAAATTTATTGATAAAGTCAAAACACTCTCAATCAAGCCAAATAAAATGTTCTAGGATTATTTGATATGAGAGCTCTATAGGCCCGGGCTGCGGAAACTATATTTTGATTTTAAATATTTTAAATGAACATTTTAGTTAACATGTATCTCGCTCAAGTGACAAAGTTTTGATGTATTTCCATATTCTTTTACATGAAATTTGGTTCCCACCATTGCTGGCATATGAACAGCCAAACCAAAGAAAACAATCTCTTCATTTGAAAAGTGGGCATTCATGAATTATGAAACACCTTAGTGCATTAATGTTTTTACATTGTAGGATGTGTTAATAGGTGATTCACTAATAGTATTTTCTCTATAATAGCTTTAAAATCTTGAAGGTGTACATGAGTTTCAAACCATGTTTTTGACTTTCGTTAGCTTTGTAATCCATGAGTCACATTTGTTCCGATCGATTGGCCGACACCCACCGATTGAGTACTTTTGTTCAAAACTGAATACAATTTTCAACAAAATACTCAATTGCCGTGCGCCGACCGATAAATGGAGCATTACCGCCGGAAAATTCAGAATTCCAAAGTAAGAGCATGCTAATGTGACCAGGTAATGCTCAAAATTGCTCACATTTTTCATTTGACTATTCACTTTGAACCTTTTAAATATCTTCTGCATTTGATTTAATTAAGTTATCTCACATCTTTTGGGATATTTGGAATGGTACATATTGGTCTGGTAGGTCAAATGCAATGTCACTTGCAGTTTTCTTAACCTCCTATATGTTTGACTGAGTTATAGTTATTCAAGCGTGTAACATTCCTTAACTTTTCTACTCCACTGAAAAACCAGCCAAGGGCGGGAAAGATGACAAGCGACCACAGAAGAAGTTCAACCCAGCATCAAATATTCAGAAACACGCATTCCAGGGAATGACTGCTACTCAAAAACCAAACAAAAAATTCAAGAAAAAGTTCAAAGAAAAGCATGCAAAACGAAAAGCACTTGCTGCTTCTAAAGAAAGTAGTAACCCTACTGCAAAAGGAAAACATATTAAGTTTTAGCTAATTTAAAAATGGACATTAAGTGGACCATGTGCTTATCTATTGAAAGCCCGTGAGTGGACAAATCTGATATCCATAAATCGAAACTGAAGCTAAGGTACATGATATATTGAAATCACATACAAGGGAACTATGGTTCAACAACAAAAAGGTATATTAGTATGTAAATAAATATATAGATAATGATATTTTTTATATGCATTAGAATTTGGGTGAGGGGGTAGCACTACCTGAGTTTCTCGCGAAGAGGCCCTCTGGGCGTTTATTTCCCCCGTTTACTTGAAAAGTTCTTGAAATGCAGAACTCAAATGGGCCTTTATTAAGAGGAGTGCTTTTCCAAGCCAGTGCGTGCTTATCATCGTTCATATTCACGCAATACTATCGTGAACGTCGACCCTCATTGACGTTTTGCCATAAAACTACTTTATTTGGCTCTTCTATTTTTATTAACTACCCTATGGCTGGTTCTTACAGGAGACGCTCCTACACAATCGGGGATAAACAATCTGCACGACATGCAATGAATGGTGATCCGCGTCTGGTATTGGGCTTAATACCATAGTCACATTTGCTTAGATTTTCAGTACCGACACCCGGACGATGAGTATTTTGTTCTAAGTTGCATTCAGTTTTCAACAAAATACAGGTACTTGTCGCGGGCGCAGGTGTCGAAAATCTGGGCAAAGGATGAGTCTGGGAATGAGTCTGGGTATCGACTTAGAAAATATTGAAAATTATAATGTCTGAAAAACCAACTCAATGGCACATATTATTAAACTTCAATATCTTATCCTTCTTCTGAGAGTACAAAAATATCCATTTGTATCACAATTAATGAAGAATATTGGCATCAAAGACAGTGCATATCACTTTGTCAGAATTGAAAAAAAATCAATGGCAAATATTAAATGAATTATTTATGCAAAAGGTTTGAAACATATCCTCCAAAACGTTGCTTACTTTCTTTGTATAGACATTGAATGGCATTTCTTGATAAGTGAATTGGTGTTTATCTGGGTAATCAAGGGATTATAGTCACTCAAAGTTACTGAGCATCCAGTTTTGAGACTTCAATTGTGTTGGTGAAGTTACACATATTTCAGTCAAATTCATGCTGAGCACAACATTCCGGTTTCAATTTTATAATCTCTATACATGACCCTGGTGATGAAGAGTCAGAATCAGTCAGAAAACCTAAACCGGAAAACTGTGCTCATTGTGAAAACTAAAAGTGAAGCAACTTTTTTTCTGATATTTCTTACATCAAATGGCAGCCATCTTGTTTTTCCCCCTTCAAATTAAACTGGCGGGAAATTCAAAAATTTGAAAAAAAATTTAATCCTTAAATATATCTCAAAAATATGATTTTCTTTTAAATTCTTCATGGGTCTTAAGTTATTTCTTCTTTGTAAGTCATACATGTTGCTATTGATGTTTTTTTCTATGATAATGACTATTTGTTTTTGTTAAGATACTTATTCTGACTCTCAGCAGGGGGTTAATTATGCATCAAAACTCGTGAAAAAAGTAAATATACTTATCAAATATAACTAGGACAGTAATAAAAAACGTATTTAACATACATTTGACTGAGGGACCAAAAGGGCATATACCCGGACACATCCTTTGACCAGGGCATTAACTAGGTGAGTGAAGAGGAGAAGTGAGGTAGAGAGGGATGGTCCGTTCTCATCGGATGACATTCGTGTTGACTACCATTCACTCTCATAACTAGCGTAGCATAGAAGCTGCGTGTTTGTCAACAATGTTTCATATGCCAGTAATGTGTAAAGATTTTAACAATTAAATCAGTTTAATCGGTTTCTAAAGTTTAAAAATAACCTAAGATGAAGAAAAGGAATCTTAGAAATAGAGGTGAATTTGAGTTGTACAAAATGTCAGCAAAAATGATTTAAGTTCTTCAAAGTCAACGATCTCGCAGATGTAAATGGTAATTTGTTCTACTTCATCATTGAAAAGGGTCATGTTTGAATTGAAAAAAAAAGAATCATGTATTTCAATTTGAAATATAAAAGCATTCGTGTATACGAGTATAAGTACTATTAAACCATCTTGATAATGCACTCGGGCTTCGCTTGTGTTTGATTCATGCTTTTATATTACCAATACTGAATGATGAATGACATGATTATTTAAGATATCTTGATGATTAACACTACTTAATCTTAATCCAGAGTAAATTAATCAGTTGTAACTATGGATATTATGACGTCATGGTATTGATAAAAATTAATCGATTTTGGGAATTCTTAATTTTACAAAGTTTTTGTTCATTACCACTTGGCAATTATCTGTGCTTATTATAATATTCCCGTAGTTTTAGTGTAACATGTTGGTTTTATGTTCAATTGTAAGCAGTTAACATTTTTTAGTAATTTACACTGTAAACAATATGGTAATTCGTCAAGTAAACTTAATCTATTAACAACATTTATTCATCGACATCTGTTGCCAAGAGGAGGAAAAGCCCCGGAGCTTTAGAGATGACAGACATAATTACGTGTCTTTCTTACAACCTTCGTTTGTTCGAATTTTCACTGGCTTGTATTAAAATACTACACTTTATCCCATGCCAGGACAATATAGTCCTGACACGGGATAAATTACACTTCGTTGTGATGGTTTAATTGATATTATGTAGGCTGATTCCGTTCGCCCTTCTTTATCTTATTTTGAAAATGTTGAAGCCGCCATTGATGACGTCATTTGTTTGTCGATTTTTGACCAGTCATAGATGTATGTCATCTCAATACAGGTTAACACTGTAAGTGTATGTCAACTTTGAACTCGTGGGTTAATCCCCCTCTACCTGTTGCTATTTAAAGAAATACATCAAATATCATCTTCGTACGCTCGGTTTTCACTGCGACCGACTGTAGTCGACGGAACAAAGATTTTTAGCTCATTTCCAATTCTGATTCATTTTATGGTTTAAAGGTTATTCGAACATGGCTGTATTCACGCCTTCTATAAACTGTAAACAAAGTCAGCATTTCACCCAGGGTATATTCGCGAACATTGCCCCTGGTAATACGTGTAATGTGTGACTTCATAACGGCGGACCGTAGTAATGGCGGACCATAATGAATATTCGAAACATTTTGGTGAGTTTTCATGTTCGAATCGTAATATAGACCTCAGAGCAGGTGTAATATCGGCGAATACACCCCTTAGGCTAGGCACAAAAGTTTTCGAACCCCTCACTCCCTTCGGTCGTTCAGGGTACAGAAAAGTTTGTGCCTAGTCCTGCAGGATGTATTCGACAATATCACCCCTGCTCTTCGGTCTATATTTCTTAAAAAAATGATGATGGTTTATCTTGATGCCAGGTAGGATTTTACAGAGTAGATTGCAATCCATTAATTCACATCGCCAATCTCTGTTAACCATTTTATTGACCGATTGAGAAATATTAAGATTATCATTGCGCGTTAAAAGTAGCTTCCACACATGGCTAGGCAAGGTGTGTCCGATTGCATGCTGCAGCCAATTTGAACAGAGTATTTCTGAGTGACAACAATGCATGGAATAATTAATAACGCATTTGCTGTGCATTGTTACCAGGGTGAAGAGATGTTTTTATGTTTTGACAACACTTGACCCTTGCAACAAGTTTCATTGTAAACTATGTTCTTTAAGTGAATTTGTATCTTTTGGGTGATTTTATAGATAGTATTTTGCAATGTGTGAAAAGAATTTAAGCCCAAGAGAGATACATTGTAGCTTCTTCATTCCACTCAGGCGTTGTTTCTTAAACTGTGCATGCCCCTACGCTGTCATGCAAAGATGATTTTGAAACAACACCTTCATGGTACATGATTCAGCAAACAATTTACCGAATCCTTAAGTCACATTAACCCTGTGGACTCAGCGCTCGCCATCGTGTGGCGTGTGATTTTTAAATTAATTTATCAATTTTTCATTTGGTATGATGGGAGATGTCATGCTGTAAAACTATTTGTTTTGCCCATCATGTCCATGCCGTGCCCAGCCGTCCTCTCCAAATTATTCACACGATTGCGAACCGCCTGGATGTGACCGCTCCTTTTTGAATAACAGCATCGACATTAAGGCCTTGGTCACAGTTGCTCCAATTTTCTCTACGGCACCCGGCAGATTGAGTATTTTGTTCAAAATTGAATACAATATTTAACAAAACACTCAATCGGGCAAACGTCGGCCGATGGATCGGAGCAAATGTGACCAAGGCATAAATAACAGGGTACCCTTTGCAAGAGAACTGTTCGACTCTATTTGGACACTCTTCAGATTAGAAATGATTGTTTCAATAAACCCACAACCAATCTAAAGCTCATAATCGAAAAATATAATGGCTTCCCAATCAAAACGTATCGACGCTGCATTTTCTCCGTTAAAGGCCATAAAACTACATTTAATATAATATGTTATGATTTATTTATAACCATGGAAACTAAAATTATTTATAATCGTGACTTATGGGATGGTTGCTGTTAACTGATAGTTTTCAACTTTTCAGGGTAAAATGAACAAATGATGGATATCTAGAAAGTCAATGTTCGTAGTTTTAGTCGTAATTAACAAAGACGTTGGGATCAAGCTGTAACATTTGACCTGACAAGCACATTCAAGTGTAATAAACTTGATGAACTATCACTCCGATGTTAAAGAAGTAGTCTTGTATTTCTGCTTCAAAATGTTCTCGTAATTCCGATCCAACAATAAAATCATTATTTTTTTAATATATTGATAAATAGGCAACCAACAAGCTACTTCCCTGATTCACTTTATTGCAGTAAATTTTTCTTAATTAGTTAAGGAAAGAATCCATGCAATTCTAATCCAATATTAAGCCTACTATAACTATACTTCTGATGTTTTGGAAGCTGTCTATGTACTTCTAAGCTTAGGGAATATCAAGCCTTCTATACTTCTGATGTTTAAGAAACCTTCTATGTAAGTCTTATCGAATATTAAGCCTACTATACTTATGATGTTTAGAAACAAGTCTGCAAGCCTTCTCGAATATTAATCCTACTATACTTCTGAAGTTTAAGGAAGCAGTCTGCGTAAACTTATCGAATGATAAGGCTACTATACTTCTGATGTTTAGGAGCCATACAATGTTATTCTTATCGAATATTCAGCCTACTATACTTTTGATGTTTAGGAAGCAGTCTTTGTATACTTATCGAATATTAAGGCTGCTATACTTCTGATGTCTAGGAATAGGTCTTTGTACTTCTTATCGACTATTAAGCCTACATTACTTCTCATGTTTAGGGACCAGTCTTTGAAAGTCTTATCGAATAATAAGCATGCTATACTTCTGATGTTTAAGGACCAGTCTATGTAAGTATTATCGAATATTAAGCCTACTATACTTCCTATGTTTAGGAGGATGTCATTGTAATTTTAATCAATAATACATGTATTAATACATAATACATTTATTATTTATAATTAAGGCTACTATACTTCTGATGTTTAGGAACCAGACTATGTAATTCTTATCGAATATTAAGTTTACTGTACTTCTGATGTTTTGGAAGATTCAGTCTATATAATCATCTGATCCATCCGTCCATTATTGATACATCTTTAAACGATACTACAATTTTTAATATTGTACTCTAGCCTAAACCTTTTTTGTCATGTAATTTACTCGTTAAAAACGCTTTTATTATCGACTGAGTCAAATCGATATTTTAACCTGATGAATTAAGGAATCGCCAACACATGGTGTAACAGAGATGTGAAACGCAGCCCTGTGATAGAGATAGTGGTGCATACATAAAAAATAAGAAAAATGAACGTTTAATTCGATGACGGTACCATGGTCAAACATCGACTTTCTACAGTTTTGTGAAATTAACATAAAAACCGTAATATACTAGTACTCAAGTTTTAATATATCAACCAAATACAAGCAATTTATACTGCTGTGAGGTGTTTGGACAACATGATATCACGGAAGCTCCTTGGACGAATTACTCTCTTCACTCTGTGTTTAACGTTTGGACATTATATATTACTTGGAATAGAAAACACATTGATAAAAGGTAGGTTTCATATTTATTTTTTGTCAAATAAGTAGCAATTTAGGTCTTGGAACGTGCTTCTCTTACAAGAATACAAATTGTGACATATTGTTACGTGCAGGGGCGTAGCCAGGATACAAAATTAAACGAGACTAAAGCATTCTTTACTGTAAATAGGTAACAGTTTAATTTCCAAGGATGTACATTCTAATTACATGCTTAAGTTAAAGGATGACAGCTTGTTTCTTTAAAAAAAACATTTGCACGATAAAAAAATGGGTCACTCATTTTTCGTCGTTGTTTATCTTACTACGGCGGTTGATGTTCGGGGTTCGGCATCTGTACTAAGTGACAAGGGGTAACATTATGCATGTTAACTTAATGCCTTGTTTCTTTTATCAGATTTGATTAAAAGGGTGTGTAGCTATTTGGCAATTCTAGCATTGGCCGTCATCTGTGTCAATCAAACACGATTATTGGCTTTTTTAAAATCGAATCTCTTTTACTCAAATTTAGATACAGTGCCTCAAAATTAGTGCCTTGATGACTCAATTACTTCGTTACTAGCATAGTTATAGATATACCATTTGCATGTTTGAATTTTGGATATTTGCGTCAGATAATCGTCTCATTTTTAACTTGTTGTATTATATGGGAAGTAGCATCGATAGTAGTGTCAGGTCGACATCATTGTATTATCTGCATTTCTGCGTATAATCTGCATATTTGTGCAACAGCAGTCCGCACTTCATCTGCATTAGGACGTTCAACAGTCCATTTTGAACTGTCAAACTTCAATTAAGGAACCATTCAGACATATCATAATTCTCGGAATCATTAGATCATGAAAACGTATAATAAAATAGGATCGGGTATATTCTTTCTTCAGCGCCTGTTGATTGGTTTAGCTCATAATACAGATGTTACGTCATTATGTTCTCCAAATGACGAAAATTTGAGGAATGATCCGAATTATCGAAGTTAGGTAATCAGTCGCCATCAAATGATTTACAATTCATTTGAAGTTCATTTTATTGCAAGTATACTTTACTTTTTCGCTGGGGAGTATCGTGACGCAACAGCACGGTGTTTTTGCATTAAGAAGGACAGCCTTCCGGCTGGTGAATATATAAGTGAATCATAATAATAATCACGTTTAACGTGAAAATGATATCTTACAGATATATTACAAAGGTTTTCGAGGGTCAAAATGGCATAGCTTTATCTTTTTTACAATTCTGATAGTGTTCCAAAACGTCTACAGTCAACATATTGTCATTTTTAGGTCATATATCAGGAACTGATCAAATATCAAGACTGATGTACGGCCATCCACCGATGAAATCACCGGGGTGTAGTGATCAAAAGTTCGTGCTGATATTCTCCTACGAAAGATCTGGATCTACCTTCTTAGGGGCGGCCATGGACCAACATCCTTCTATATTTTATATATACGAGCCCTTAAATCCACAACATGAAGAGGTATCCATTATTTGAGGCGAAATCTCATGTTAGTGCCTCGGTATGGACACTGCGGCGGATGAATGCTAAAATAGTCAAACTTTGTTGAAAATAGTCCCCTTTTCATCATATAGGGTGGTCAAAAAATGGCAACATTAAATTTTCCTCATATCTTTGTCATTTTAGGGAATTTTGGTATTTGGGATAATTTTACATCATTCAATTTTCTTCCATCAGCTACCATATTTTATGACCATCAGACTGATGGTTGCAATGTTACAGCACTTTGAACAACATGCCCTAGGTGTGACAATCAACGCGCTGTGGGCAAACTTGCACAAGTTATCAATGACCCGAATGCATTCCTCAGCAGGTATAGCCTAAAAGACACAGATGATCTCCCTTTTGAGGTCTGCTGTTGTCCTGAGGTCATTCTTGTAGACTATTTTTGGCATATCCCCACAGGCAGAAGTCAGGTATGGACATTTTGGATGATGTATGCGGGTTTACTTATAGCGCAATAGTGGTCACTGGAGCATGTTGTTTAAAGTGCTGTAACATTGTGATCGCAGAATTTGAATTTCTTAGTACTCACAGATTATTTACTTGATCTTACAACTTACTAATGATACTCCTAGGATACTTTGTACTTTCAGTAAATTTAGTTCATCAGTTGTCGAGAAAATACTTGTCAAAAAGTGTCTCATTTTTTGGGACACACCATATATGATTATTTCTATCATCATACATTGGCGTTACCCCGCCCTCACTCACTTTAATAACTTTAATATTTTTCTGTCCAAGGAAATGCAATTCCCAAGACGGAATACCATCAGCGACAAATGGCTGGAGTTGGAGGCTGACGTGTACAGGCAAGTTCAGCTCTGCAAGTTGGACCAACTCCCAGAGAAAATTGACATCATGAGAAGTGAACTCCTGTACAAATTCTCCAAAGTTCATCCTGATGTCTATATGGAAGGGTTTACGGAATGCATGACGAGGAAAAGCAGTAGACTTAATCCATTGGGCATCAATAAAACAGATTTTTGTATACAAGGTGTTCTGGGATTGTGCAAATCGAGGTCGGTATGTATCTACTTTTAATCTAATATATTTCCCTGTAATTGAAACAATGCTAAGTTTATCTTAAGTGATGAGTTGGAGACGTGACGCAGTGACTGAGATGCTAGGTGGACAGATTTGATTATTTTAGTTTGATATAAAACCAATCAATGGCCAGATATATCGCCGCTATCTGAAATGATGGCATCATTACATACTACTCCACTAAGCAATCGAAAGAGACAGTGGAAGGGAAAAAGAAATAACGTATATCCTTCTCTACATTCTGTTACGATAATTGTAGTTCTTATATTACCATATTTGCAAATGTTTGTTCATCCGCATATGTTTCAAGGTGGTCCTTGTTAAAGAAGTTCGAGGTACAATGGAAGGATTCTCTCGCTTCGTCCAGAGACAAGACTGTTCAGACAGTGTGAAAGTTATCCATCTTCTCCGAGATCCCAGGGGAGAAATTAACAGTCGTTTTAAAACAAAATGGACACATTTTATAAAATATCCATTGGTTGATAAATACGAGTTTATCAGTTCGTTGTGTGGACGTATGTTAAAGGATATAAGGATAAGACGAGAGCTTGAAAAGAAGTACCCAGACATGTTTATGCAGTTAAAATACGAAGATGTTACTAAAAATCCCGTACAGACATTTGAGGCTCTAATGGAATTTATTGGATTGCCCTTCTTTCCATATCACAAAAAGATGTTGGAGTTAAAGTCTAAAAACTCGTCAGTAGATATATGGAAGAATACGCTTAATAGGACTTTACTGAGGGAAATTGATGAACGTTGTTCAGACGTGTATGGTGAACTAGGTTATCAAAAGTCAGAAGTTAACAGAATATGATTCAACCAAGATAGCCTACACCTCATACATAAATAATTGTTTTTACACGTTTTGATTAATACAGATTTTAAAAAATTGTTATTAAATCTGTTTTTTGTCATCACTAGGGATACATTTGAAGCTTCGTCAGGAGGAATATTATACATTATCGCCGTTAACATGATAAATGAAAGGGCGTTTTAGTGGTCCACCATCATAAAGAGCAGCCTTAAAAAGATAAGGTAGCATGAATATTATCTTAATGCAGTGAAGCCATTTTAGTACAACTTTAACACAGTTTTCAGGGCTTCAAAAGTTAGACACATTCAGAACTAGAACAATGGTTCGAAATGACATAATTTGTTGGATTTGTTATAGATAATTACGTATCTCAAACCCTGTAACTTAGTTAAAATATCGCTTAGTGTAATAACAAACTACGTATAGGTATAGGTAAATGGGTTATTTACGCTAATCTTAAACTCCCTAGTAACCCATTTACCTATACGTACGTAACCTATACGTACGTAGTTTGATATTACACTTAGCGCTTACAGGGTTTACGATACGTAATTACCTTTATTATGCACCTCATTAAAATACTCAAATCTGATTGGTTAAGAGCTGCAGGGTCTATTGCCATACGTGGCAGCAAGATCTCGTTCTATTCAGTATTGAAGCAACGAGATCTCCAACCATCCGGAACACGAATCCCGAGCTCGGCTTTGCTTCGCCTAGTATTTTTTTCATCGGATAGGTATTCTGGCATATCCACCTCATGGTCATCCAGTATTTGTTTAATAAATGGCCGAAGATAGGAAATTCGAAAACGTATGTTTTTATCCAACAAGTTACGTCATTTTTAGATCAGATATCATCCATTAAACTTTAAAATACTAACAACAAACATTTCTCATTCGATATGCATAGAAATTAGGTGGTCGAACACATTCATTGATGCGATAAACTATGCCATGTGATGATGCATGAAATTGTTGAATTCACACATTCTTCATCAGTTTTGCTTATTGTAAATGTATGAAATCAGCCATTTTCTCGTGCGATTTTAATCGTTTAACTTTACTATTTGGTCACTCTCATTGCTCGATCATGCTAAAAAATTAACAATTCGCCTTAAGTCACTGCCCCACTTCTCTCTGAAGTATATAACAGTTCTTGGAAGTGACATGTACTGGCAACTAACGAAAATTGACCGGTACGGGTCAAAAGCTCACGCCCGGTGATCGTGAATATGGGACGGAGGGGGGGGAGCAGGCAATTTCTGCTAGGAAATTCAACAAATCTGGAAGATTTATTTTTTCAAGAAAAAGTTTACTATTGAATTGCTAAATGGATAGGCGCACGGTATGGTAGAATATGTTAGGTTTTCTGGGATTTTTTCTGAAACGATACGCATCTAAGGTATGAGATCTATTAAAAAAGGCGCAAGGGCATCAACAGGCACAAATCAACGTTTTTGCTATAAATCAAGGAACAATGGCCTACACGACCTGTAATAAATACTTGTAAGTGATGTTATCATAACTAAATTAATGTCGTTGCTGAATTTATAAAATAAGTTTCCATACGAAAAATAAAAAATAATCGAAAATAATTAAAATGGGACGGAGGGGGGAGGGGACGGAGGGGGGGAGTAATAATTCTATAAAGTGAAACAACTTCACACGAATTCTTGTATTTGAAAAATGAACTCATTAACTTAGTAAGAAACTGAATGATATACCCCTGGAGACTGAAAAATGGGGACATTTGGAGTAAAAGGACTTAAAGTCGCGAAACATCTCTAATCATGTCTTATATACATTGCTCCCCCCCTCCGTCCCCTCCCCCCCCCCCCTCCGTCCCAAATTCATTATTTTCGATTATTTTTTATTTCACATATGGAAACTTATTTTATAAATTCAGCAATGACATTAATTTAGTTATGATAACATCACTTACAAGTATTTATTACAGGTCGTCCAGACCATTGTTCCTTGATTTATAGCAAAAACGTTGATTTGTGCCTGTTGATGGCCTTGCGCCTTTTTTAATAGATCTCATATCTTAGATGCGTATCGTTTCAGAAAAAATCCCAGAAAACCTAACATATTCTACCATACCGTGCGCCTATCCACTTAGCAATTCAATAGAAAACTTTTTCTTGAAAAAATAAATCTTCCAGATTTGTTGAATTTCCTAGCAGAAATTGCCTGCTCCCCCCCCCCCTCCGTCCCATATTCACGATCACCGGGCGTGAAGCTGGACCGGTACGGGTTAACGGTTTTATTTGAATTTAAAACAGCCATAACTTGCTCAATAGTGACTTCATCGTGTCTAATTTGAAATATATGATGCCTCTCGATGCTTTTAAGTACCCCGATTTTTTACAGATTTTTAAACGGACCAAAACTCTCCAAATGCGCATTTATGCTCTTTTCTCTCGAGAACGACTGTCTCATTTTAACGATAACTTTTATGTAGTACTTCTAACATATAAGATCTATTTTTCCCCATCAAGGTATGATGTAAATGACATGCCATTTACATCTTGTGAGTTTCAATGACGCGCGTTTGATTTTATAAAAAATGCCAAACTTTGTGACAAAGAATTTCCCCCTGCTTGCAGCGAGAAGACGGACCGGTTCGGGGCAATACACAACGGGAAACACTATTTTCTAAGCACTACTAAGAAAGAATACTTAATGTCTTATCCATAAGTAATAAGCACTACTAACTACTAATTCTCAGGAATAAAAAGTTCACACTTATCATACCTATTGAGAGATAAATATTGCTTATCCTCGGCCCAGGTACGTCTTATCCGTGTGTCATGTGACTACTGCGTTAATTAACTAAGTAAAGCATTTCAATTTAAGTGTAGTATGTTTGCATGCAGCAAGCATTTAATCATTTTTGATTTTTGATTAAAAATAACTCCTTTGGATCAAATATTTTAATTCTACTAGAGTGCGGGGAGTGGAAACAAGTCTCCATTCAAGCACTAAATATCAAAAGGAAGATTTCAGGACCCCTTCACTTCACTCCCGGACTTCACTATTCACCACCACCCATCCCCCTTCCCCAATTATCCCCAATGACCCCAGAATGTTCGTTTCTGTGCCGCTTGTCCATGGCCAGTAATTAATCTATGTGTATATTGTCTCCCTCCAAAAGGTAGGAAAAACCAGATGCAGACATAAACATTGACAAGGTGAGGGGATTTTAATATAAAAATAGTCTTGTTTTTGGCTCTGACTTAAATATCTTGACACTGTTTAACGAAGCCGGTTTAAGGAATGAGAGGCAGAAATAATTCCTAGATGATCTTTCTTTACTGTAATCAAGATGCTACGTAATCGCAATTTTAAAAGGGATTAAGTTATTTACCTTGTGATAATTTAATACTACTTATTGATTGGTTTGCCAAATATAACACCCCATATAAGACCCTTGTCTCTGATTGTAAAACATGTGTATGCACCAAATCCTAGGAATATTACATTATGTGAAACAATTCCAAAAAGGTTTTGTCTTGAACTCAATCAAATAGCAATATATTTCAACATGTAGAAATTATTTATTAACATAATGTCGGGCACTATAGGTTAAATGGTTTTCAGTCTTGCTCTTTTTGTGTCACGCTTTAATTGTGTGCTTTATTTATTTGGGATTTGAATTTGGAAAGGTGAATTCACGATCAATAAAGTTTATAATATCATTTATTAACCAATGCATCGAGGCAAAGCCGCCTTTCAAACACATCATCTATTATGCATGTCCATTTGTAGCAATCACACGGCCCATACCAGGGGAACACTGTTATCTGTCGCATTTATTACAGTGCCCGTATGTCAACCATACGGTGACCGCACGTTCAGCCTGCCTTTTCTATGCCCGTTACATGTAGATGTTAATGAATGGGAATTTTTCATGTTTTTATTTTTATGTTTTCATTAAACAGCCAGAAAAAACTATTTTTCATTTCCCAAGGAATTTAAAATGTATCTAATATATTATACAATCAGACAGACTGGCTATTCTAATCCGTTATGAAAGGCCATTTGTTTTTTCCACTACAGGATGTTTCTACAGAAGTTAATTAATTGTTTATCTAAGTGTTTAGATGCATTGTCCCTTGACGCTTTCATGAAATAAATGAACTTTGTGATGGACTACAATTGTATATTTTTACAGGAACAGTTATTTTTATCACCAAAGTAGAGCACTTTTTACATTAATTTAATTTTAGGTCTCTCTTATTAGTTGCATTGCAGAAGTCTAATATTATTCTCTCCGTGTGCCGAATGTACTTATACCCGTAGCCAAGGGGTGGGGTGGTTCAAGGAGTGCGAGTGAACAGAATTCGAATTGAATACAAAATAAATATGTAACATATAAAAATATAAGTACATAATGTCTAGCCAAGTCTTCTTGCATTTTCTGAACTTTAAATGCGCCTTTTGACGTGTAGTAACAAAATACTAAATAAATATTGATGATACTCCAGCTTGTTTTTATATTAATTTGGCAATGAAGCATGTATAAAGAGATAGCAAATTGTGCACAACCCAAATCCCTTCCCCGATCGGGTCGCGTTTACTATGTTTGTTAAAATGTATAAAAGTAATTGTAATAAAGACAATAATGCCCCCCCCCCCCCTATTGCAACCATCTTCGTTCACTCGGCTCCCATCGATGGACGCAGTTTAGACCGAGCTTGCGAAGATGTATTGCAACATTTTGTCAATTAATGGCATTGGCCCGGTGTATCAACACACATTTGATTGAAATAATTCAAACCAAATTTCCAAATGAATAAAGAACGTGAAGGTTCTGTTTGACATTCGAACAAACATTTATCCAGTCAAAAATAGATTTCTAATATTTGACCTTGATTAGATGTATTTATTGATCCTTTTTTTTAAAACTACAGATGGTTCACTCAATTCCGAAGTAAACAAAAAATAATCCTTTACACGTTTACTTGGTTCTCATGATACTGCCTACAACCTATCATGTATCAAAACAAATA